TTAGGATAGCCAATATTGTAAATATTTGAAGTTTAGTGAATATTGTTGATTTTATTTAGTTTTAGTAAGTTTTAGTACGTGAAAAATTTAAAATTTTTCTGTAAGGCAAAAATAAATTAAAAAAAAAAAAAAAAAAAAAATCATGATTGTTTTTTTTCTTTTCGATTATGTATTTATATTCATGTTTTCCCACAACTCAATCACCCCTGTGGAGGGTCCCGTTAGCGGTGGTGATCGGGTGGGGTGTGGTGGGGGTTGATGGTGGCTTGAAAACGTGAAAAAAATAACTTTGGGAAAGTTGCCCCAATAGGTTCTCTAAGGGTGAAACCCAGGGCCCAGTTGTTCAAAGGCTGATTAGCGCTTAACCCTGGCTTAAATTTAGACCCAGGGTTTCATTTTTCTTATGTTCAAAAGTATTTTCTCGGATAATCTTCTCTGTTATTTTTAGGGCTTCCAATCATCAGCCCGTAGACAAAAAGAATTAAAATTGAAATGCTTTTTAAGCTTTCAAATCTGAATTCAAATCTCGCACTAACCCCTTAACCCAGCTTTGAACAACTCGGCCCCTGAACAATTGCAAAAATTTCAGTGAGAGGAGCACGACGTCCCGGCCAAACACATAAATGCGCATTTACAATTCATTCATTAAACCTTCCCTGGAATAGGTACGTCGTCTTACTATTGCCACCTGGAATACACTTTAAGAATCTAGAAAAAACTTTCTCTGCCCAGGCGACGTACAAATTACCTGAAAAGACGAGACTTGTTTAGGAATGCACCATTAGAAATGTGAAGGGGGTGGGGGACGGGGGGAAAGACATTCTGAAGGAGCATGATATATTTTTTTCAAAAGCAGCCAGGATGCAAGATTTTTTTCAACCCTGAAAACCTTTTTTCTGGTTTCTTTGAATTATGCATTTTTTTTCCTTTTAATTTGGTTTGAAGGAATTTTTTCCTGTTTTTGGACTCCCCTCTTCACATTCCTAATGGTGCATCCCTTCTAGATCGAGTCTTTTTGCCCCATGGAATTAAATGAGGCAACCTGCCATTATATGCATTGTAATAGCAGATAACAAGTAATAAGAAGGGTTTGTTGTAAAAATGTAATTTATAATGGATAGATAAAAAATATCGACAATTCTAAAGCGAAGCATCAATCAGGTATCTGACTTATCGGATTCTAAACCGTCGGAAATCATTAAAAACAATAGCAAAACATTTTTTTAGAACTTTTTTTGAGTTTTACTGATGATTTTCCGTGTGTTTTCAATGAAGTTCTATTCAAAGACTACTTACTTACGCCGGGGTACGTTATTATCGATACTTATTAAAATCTTCGGTAAAGAAAAATCTGGGCCGGATAATACATAGGGCTTCAACTTAGTTTATCGCGTGCGATTTAAACTGTAAAATTAAAAGGTCATTCCTGACTTGTCCACTGAAGTGGTTACAAATGTCATTTCCCAGGTTATACGGAGGGGCATCACCATGGTATAAAATTACCAGTGGCATAGATACCAAACGAAATAAACAATTGCTGGTTTTCAGTGTCACGCCATTCAAAATAGATATCAAAATAAAAATCAAAAGCGTTGTACTGATAAAGTCCAGAATCTGGGAAATGAAAGGAGGTAAATATGCAAAGACCCTCTCCAAATCGCAGGTCAGGGGAATATTACGTATACGAGATATTCGAAGAAACGTTTTACCCAAATTTATAAAGATTTGTATGGAGACGCCATGCTGGTACTCATCCGGGTGAGCACCAACATGGCGGACGAAAACCAAAAGAAACATCTGTTAACGAGTTTTGCTAAAAAAGCGTGAATTCATTCTTCGAAGAACTCATAAACATTAAAGTAATACTTTTTCTAATACATGAACTGTTTAGATAGGAAAATTTCCTAAAATAAGTCATTTTTTTAACCTACATGACTGTTCTCTTGGCCGTCATGCAAATGCCGCGTCACGCAAAAGCTTAGAAATTCGAGGGCGTACTCTATCACAAAACCAAGAAACCTTTTGAAGCGAAAATTTGTATGAAAATTAGTTTTCATCTGCTCTAATACATCGTGAAATAAAATCTCGGTAGGATCGATAGTTTTGTAGTTTGAATTTTAGTGACGCCATAAGACAACCAGCAATAGAAATAATAAAAAGAATAGCCACATAGTAATATACCTGCAGTACTAATCTCACGGCACTTAGGCAGAGGCTGGGCGCTTATTATCTTTTCAGTTTCTGCCTTTAGGATGGGCGCTTATTCGAGGTGGGCGCTAATTCGAGGTCGGGCGCTTATTCGAATAAATATGGTATGTCCTCTCAAGGGAAGATATATATATATATTTTTTCTTTCTTCTCTCTCTTTTCTTTCTGAATATCCCTCCCTTATGCACGATTACGTCAGACGAGTAAAATTTCACCACCAAGCCTTGTTTGTACCTTTGTGAACCAGGAGCCCATGGGCTCCTGTGTGAACAAAATGCTTTGCATTTGCACTTTTTGTGGGTGGGTATGCTTGTTAACTCTATTGCCTTGGGAATTCATTTCTCTGAAACTTCGCTAATTTTTAATTCATAAAGAGGCTTTAGCTTGGTGGTGAAATTTCCTTGTGTGACGTAAACCCAGACGTAGTTAATCGATAAGCCGATAATCGATATCAGTCGATAGTAATCGTTATTAATCGATCGAAATAAATAAAGAAAAAAAGTTGTGACCTCAATTAATATCGATGAGTTTCCAATAGAAATCGATAATGATTTTTTATCTATTAGTTTTTCTGTGACTTCAATTTCTATCGATTTCCGATCATCAATGGATGTTAATCGACGGATTAAATCGATTAATATCGATGATATCGATTGATTTCCGATATCGACTTTTATCGATTAACTACGTCTGGCGTAAACATGCATAAGGGCTATCCGCTCAGCACCCTCGATCGATTCGGCCCAAAGGTCAAATGATCTTCCCCTTTGGTCATTACGTTTTTCCCCTCGTACTGTAATTAAAGCCATCATCTATTTGTGAATTGACTTTGGGTTGGGGGAACTTTTCCAACACTTTCCGGCTTAAAAAAATTGCAGAATAGCCGGCTTCCGTTCGTGATCCAATGTCGTAAATGTAAAAGCATCCCAAACACACTAGCGGAAACTAGCCTTAAGAGACAGATTTGGAGAACACCGCAGGGCGATACAAAACAAAATTGACGACGCAGTACCGCAACATTTGAATCAACCCGGACACCAAGTTAAAGACATCGAGCTTATCCCACTCGAACTTATCAACGTACACTAAAAGACAATCCATACGTAGAGCCCGCGAACGTTTTTACATTGAAAAGCCACAAACTATGCAGCCACGGGGAATAAACAGAGAGGACGATCGTTAAACTTTATTTCATTTTAATTTATTCTATTCTTATTCTTATTATGATTATTATTGTATTTGTTTATATAATATTTTTCATTTCTAATATTTTCTTTTTTTCATCGTTTTATTATTATTTACTTTTTATTTTTATTTTATTTGTTATATTTTTATTATTTATTTATTTTTAAATTGTTATGTAATTTAATTTTATTATTATTATTTTGTTATTATTATTATACATATTTTATTTTAATTATGTTATGTTTTTTTTTGTTTCTTTTTATTTATTTACTTATTTTTTCCAGTTACCATCTGAATCGTTTCTCATTTAGTTTTTTACATTACCTTTGCATCAAATTTCCAACGTCTACTCGTCGTCTATAATATTTGAATTGTAACGACTTTTCGATTCTTCACTAAATCCCCTGACCGCTTGTCTGTCCGAAATATCGGGAAACCTCAAGTCGCTTTTCTCTTTGCTGTTTTGTTATTTATGTCTATATTTCCGTTTATTACACCAAATTTAAGTTATCTGCAGTCTCAAACTTTCAATATTCAGAAAATATGAAAGACCACTAGGGGCACCCAACGACTGTTTTCTGTAAAATATCTGTTCGGAGAAGCAAATATTGCCTAGAATTTTCTTTTGCTTAAGGACGGCAAAAAAATTTCAAGATGAACATTCCATTCATGTGCAATTTTCGAAGCTTATGTAATAAATTCCCTACAATTCTCTGAAGTTTCAGTTTTCCTACTTTACTATCCAGATTACACTATTTTTCTTAGAAAAAGGAAACCTAAAATTTACGGGCTCTATAGTGTGACGGAGAGAGGAACCAGAAAAATTATCACTTAATTCCCCCTGAATTTTCAAAAGGTTCCCCTAGGAATCGATGACCGACAGATAAAATTTTTGTAGCGCCGCTTAGAATGCATTTCTAGAGATCTAAAAGTACTCTGATAGCCCAAAAGTGTTTTCAGCGTATTTTGGAGGAACCGTTGTCGGTTCCCCCAGGCCCAGGTGATAGTCATCTGTATTTGCAGCGTATTTACGTCTCAAAAGCAGTCCTCGGTGACTGCTCTATCGTTCATCTCTATCGTCTGCTGTTTAATTTGTCTCTATCTTTGGTTTTGTAAATTCATACGTACAAGTATTCCACTTTTGTATACATTTCTGGACCTTGTCATCTGGGAAATAAACAACCGGCCAAAGATCAATCTCTATTCATAGATTTTTCCAGTTCAGGGAATTTCACCTTGGACGACCTTTAATGAATTTTGTCACGCAAAATGTTTTGTAGAGTTATTGCATGATCCACACACGATACAACGTTCCTTTTCCATCATCATTATATTTTAAATGAAAGATCACCGCTGCATTGTGAAATTAAAAGATTTGTAATACCAGTTTTGGAGGTTTCGAAAGAGGAAATACTAGGGAACATTACCTGCGGTCACGTGGATATGAACTTTGTCCAACAAACACGCTGGAGGGCCCAGATTACATCATTATGCAATAGATATTACCGCATCTCTGATTGGACAGATATGCGAGCGATTTCAAACGATTTTCTAACGGCTGTTTTGATAGGATGCTTACCCGATGACCAAAGTCCGACTGTCTTCGCAATAAAAATTGCTCTCTGAACGGTACGAGTTATTCGTCGTTCGGTTGTATTTGGTTGTATACTACTTCTTTTTTGGTGAGAGTAGATCTAAACGTCGTTCGAAAGATATGACTTCTGAAATGGAGATGACGCAGGAAGCAGAGAACAAGTCGTTTGCGACCCGTGTGTGGGAACTTCCAGTGGCGATGGCCGCCGTCGAACAGCTTTCTCAAATCTACAGTTCTGTAAAGGAACGGAATGCAGTGACAAGGATGGCTTGTAATGCGGGTGAAAGTACGATCCAAATGGCTACAGCTGCTACAAAGCCTATTATCGACGCAGCAAATAATTGTTCGTTGTCGAAACCCATTGTTGGAAAAGTCGAATGTGCTGGTACGTGAAGGAAAAACGCCCGTTTTTTTTCGACAGTAAGCTTAAACTTGTCCATCGAATCATTGATCATGTACCTTTATAGCTTACGTAAGGGACCCTTGTTGGCTATCCTCTTCGCGTTTCAAGTGAGACTCTTCTGTAGTGTGTCGTAATTTTCGTTTTCATTTAACTTATTTATGAAAATCAGCACACTAGTGATAAAACTCAAAATGAAGCATAAACTTGGTCACGTCTTGACAGCCCGATTTCAGGTTGCTGTCCACTTATTAGTGAACCTTGAACTTCCTATTAATCCCTCTCAATCTCAAAGACATAAAACAATGAATAGGTTTTTTCATGAATCACTTGAATCAGTCAGTCATTGTGATAATTTTAAGGGGATTTACCCTTTTAAATTCATGTATCAAAAGTATTTATAGCTTAGAGTGAGAACCATTTTCATTACAGCTGCTACCATTGACCGTGTGGCTTCAGAGACACTCGCTAAGGTTGAAGAGAAGTGTCCCATTATTACGAAGACACCCACTGAGGTAAAAGTTGTATGTATTACCTCCCCCATCCAGTTATGTCATTAATGATTCTCTTCTTATAGTAACCTCTCTGGACACCTCTCTCTTACAGACAGTTTTCTTGGTTTTAAAATTGCCAAATTCAAATAATTCCTACCTTTTCAACATTGGACACCTCCTCCATAATGTGGACACTTGAGTCTGTCCCTGTCCACGCAAGGAAGTTTAGCCATTCATACTTGTGTTTTAGTCAATCAGAATACTTGAAGTAAATTTGATGCATTATATTGTCTGAGACTGTCCATGGCAACCTAATGGTATACCAGTTCTAATATTATTGGTTTTCTTCATGCTTGGCATCGTATATAAAAGGATCAATACTTAGTTGTTGGAAATTTCTTATATTGCTATGGAGCCAGAAGATGTGCACTGCACTAAAAGATCCCAATTTGACTTGGAGGCTTATTCTTTTGTTGGCTTTATTATAACTTGCATTAAATTTGGGAGAAGTTTATTCCAAGACTGAAAATGGTGCAAAGGCCTGCATTGGTTTCACAAAAGTACATGTCATTTTGGGCCATACTTGACCTTGTTAACACGTACTGGATTTTTGTCTTGCCTCTTTAGATCAAGACTGCAGTAACCGGTACTGCCTCAGATTACTATTCCAAACTGCAAGACAGTGCAGCCGTGAAGATGATGGTTGCTAGGACAGGAGATGTGCTGTCAACGTTTGAGTTGATTGGCGAATTAACTCTGCCTACTGATGGCAAATGTGAAGAGGACATGAAGGAGCTGGAAACAGATGATGCTGATCATGAGAAAGGACACTTGGTGAGAGCCCGGAATCTGCAGAAAAAGTTGGCACGCAGGGGAAAGAGAAAGCTGATGTCGTACCAGCCCATTAAGTTCACAGTTGATACGGTATGCTGTAGATCTGGATTAGATTTAAAACAAATGGTATTGAATAACATCCGGTCAGAACTTGTCTCATAAATTTCTTCTGGATCACTATTAAAATGATATAAAGTGAGTTTAAAATGGAAAATGGTGGCAAAGGAAGTTACTACTAGTGAGTTTCGTCTAAGATTCAGTGGAAAAGGGTTGATCCAAATTTTAAAATGATCGTATTTTTTAACATAGCTATCTATGACCAAATGTACTATTTATGAGAAGTTCCTCATACCAGAACGACCATTTCAAGTATATTTGGTGATTTGTTTTCTCTTAAATTTTTGGAAGGTAGACAAAGCTTTTCATCACAGTGCCTTCATCATATTTACAATCATTCACTATCTACGTTGTCACAGTAAAGTTGATACTTTTTCTGTTTTCTTGTAGATGAGCAACTTGCAGGATAAGGTAACAGACTTGGTTGGCAAGTCATCAGGAGCAGGGAAAAAAGTCTACAATGCAACCATGTACATCCCTAGCATGGCACTTGAGCTATCTGGGAGTGTCATTGTTTCGGCCAAAGATTTTGTTTTCGCACTTCACAAGGTACTTTAATTTTGGACTGTCTGGATGATTAATATTAATACAGTGATAATAGATTGGCAGGACCAGCATAACACTAAAACACTTCGAAGTTTTTATTTTTATCTTTCCAAAATGCACGATTCTACCTCTCATGATCTGCACCCAGTGTGATGTTTTCTTTCATCATTGGTTTTATTTTAAATGAAAGATAAACACTGCATTGTGAAATAAGAAGATTTGTAGTAGCAGTTTCAGAGGTTTCGAAAGGAGAAAAAATTAGGAAGGATTACCTGCGGTCACGTGGATATGAGCATTGCCCAAAAAACACTACAGAAGGCCCAGATTACATCATTATGCAGTAGATATCACTGCCTCTCTGACTGGACAGATATGTGAGTGATTTCAAACGATTTTCTAACAGCTGTTTTGATAGGATGCTCACCAGATGACCAAAGTGCGACTGTGTTCGCAAAGTCATGTAATTTGAAGTTCTTATTTTCACCTTTTCAAATTGCACGATTCTACCTTTCATTTTGTTTCGTTCTGAGCTATATTAAACCAATTAAGTCTTCAAGAATGAGAACTCATCATGCAAATTTAATGGCAAAGTACAGTTGCTCATTGCTGAGGGAGGAACTAAATTATTTAATTCAATCTGACGAAAACACCACATCAAGAAGGCCATCACCATCAAACAAAGAAAACCCTCTCTGAGTAGGGACGGGGGACTGGACCTCCAGCCATTTACAATCCTCCTCTAGGAATACGTAACAACCTTTCTGTCACGTAACCTGACATTTTACATTGCTGATGAAGTTCAAGCAAGTCAAATGAAATATCTGATTCATTTTAAATTGTTGCTCTGAGTTTTGAAATTTGCATACCGAATAAAATTAATTATTTCAGTTTACAAAGTTTATGTCAAGAAATCAAAAAGAGAGTTTTAAAACCACTATTTTGGACATGTAGTCAGAGAAAAAATAGGAAAAGGCAAGCTTTGATCTGTTTGTGTAAAACTTAACCCTCTCACAGTAGGAAAAAAATTTTCTTATCCACTTGTCCCTTGGACAAGCACTATATTAAACTTAGTTGTCTGAAACCCAAGAGCTCTTGTCTAAAAAAGCAGGCCTGGTAACTAAGCCAGGTTCTTAAGCCAAACAGAGCTAACAAATAAAGTGTGAGGTTTGCTTTTATGACTTTGCAAAATGAAGTCAATTCTTAACTATTTCTGTATTTTCTGTAATAAAAAATGTGCTTGTCCAACGGACAAGCCATGTCAAAGGTTTACATGTCCACACTAAATTTCTACCGGCTGTCTTGGACAATCCGCCATAGGTTTTGGTGAATCCTGCCTTTAATTTTGTGTAACACTAGATTTGAGGGATTTGTGTTCGCGGCGCGCAATGCATCAAGGTTGGGAATAGTCGGGAAAGATTAATCTGGTTGATACCCTGTACTTCAGCAACCGCTTCCCACTACTTCTATAGCAAACCTATAGGGACAACAAATTAGAATTAGAATTTTGATATTATGGTTTAAGGGTTAATGTTAGTAAATATTGGTTTGATCTTAGGCTCATCCCATCAAGGACATGCCTGCTACAATTGCCAACTGTGTGATGAAAGCTGTTCAACCACTCTCTGATGCAAAAGACAAACTTGTCGGCCATGTGTTTGTCCCACCCCAAGTAATGACTGAATACCTCCTTTCATCTCGCCCCATTCAGTGGATAATTCCTCACATCGTCGCCGTTGAAGACATAAACAAAATGGATATCACCATGGAAGAAATCGAAGACACGACAGAGTCAGAGGGAAACGAGAATGGAAAAGACTCATAAATTCTTACTTAAAATTTACTTCTTATTAACTTAAAATATTGAGAGTTCCAATACACAACACATTTACATGTATTTGTCTATTCCAAAATAATTAAAATGACGAAAGCAGTAATACCATTACTTTGAATAATTACTTAATAAATTTAGTTTTGGACAGGTAGATGTTTATAGTTTAAGATAGTTTCAACTAAAACTGCTTTTAACTTTGATATTACTTTTGTAAGTAGTTGTCGTCGATTAGTTTTCTAGCATTCAATAACTTGTTGTAATCACTGAAAAATGCTGTTGGAAACATTTTATCAATGATTTGTTGATTGAGAAAGTAAGCAAATCCAAGAACTTGCAAAATGTATTTGATTGGCATTTCTTGAAACAGTTCTTGAGGAACAATTTCATTAAAATCAATTTCTACCTTACGATTTTATTATGTTTAATTTTAACAGGTAGTTCAATAAAGAATGTTAACCTTGATTGTTTTAATCAAAGTTTTCAATCTGGCATGTTACAGTAAATAAAGTTATTGTTTCAACTAGTTGATAGAAACACATTAAAATCAAAATGATGGCAACCTTAAAAATAAAGGGTTTCGTTCATTGTTTGTCTCACGATTGTCACTGAGATATTGATCATGACGGTTTGACCTTGAGACACGTTATCCACGATGAACAATATCTTTCATGACATTAACCTTCAAAACAGTGTTGAGAGAGATTAAGTTAAAGCTTGAGTTATACGATTTGTAAGTGGGGGTATTGCGTAGTGAATATATTGAAAAAATTAGAGTTATTGTCCCACCCCAGCGACATGCTGATAAACTCATAATAAAAATATAATTCACCTTCTTCCTTTGTTTCAGTTCAATTCTTTCTTATTGTTTCCGCTTGTCACGCTGACAGGCTGGTTTGCGCCAGTTTGAAGGCTTTGCAGTTGTAAAGCATTATTACCGTAACACTGTTTTCACTAGATCTTAATATTATACTTCTCTACTTCTGAGAGGAAATGCGGGGTGTGTTCAGTCGGGAAATCTGGATTAAGAATTTGTCTCAGATTTTGCATTAAACAGATTTCCCATAGAAATGGAATTAGAGGAAATCCAAGGATGGATTTTTTAGCGTTACAGATACGTTTTTGGATCATTTCAAAATCAAATCCACATTTCCCAATCCTTGGTTCATTTCTCTGCTTCCCAGATACATAAATAGAAAGTTACTAAGTTGGGATCGCGAAAATTACATATTTGCCCCAAAGTGACTAAGATGGGGTCTATAACTGGCCACAGAATAGACTATAAAGTGGTAAGGGTTCTGAGAGGCCAGCGGCACATACCCAGCAAAAATTAACCCAAGTACCCCCTCCCCCGGAAAAACTACCACAACTTCGTTTCTTTTTTTCGCTTTGTTAAGAAATGATGAGAACAGCAAGTGAATGTAACGAAAGTTAGTTTTTTAAAGATCAAAGATGTCCTTCAAGTCAGTTACATCAACACTATACCAAAGATGATAGAATAACCGCCGTGTTACAGTGACTTTGTTACCTCTGCGCCCTGCTTCCCTGACGCATAAAAAGCGCAAAAGACGCAAAACAATAGCCTGAAATTCATCCGATTGCTTCGAGTCGTTTTCTCCTCTGAGGGAGTAATAACGACTCGAAGTAATCGGATGAAATTCAGGCTAGCAACACAATTCATTACATGTGTCCTGTGGGGGACGCAAAGATTGTTTGATCGACCTGAAGATGCTTTTGTAGAATATTCTGTTCGTATAATTTCCGTGGCTGTTCTTGCGGCTGTTGTTTAACGAGGTATATTTCTTTTTCTTTGTTGTGCTTTAGGACAAAAGGAGATTTTTATTCCAGTAAACTGTAATAAAGAGTTTTTGAGTCTGTCTTCAGATTAATTGTCTGCATGGTTACATATTATACATAAACTGATAAAGGCCTAGACCGCGAGCCGTCGTCCTTTGTTCCTCAGAGCCACGCGGGGCGCGCGAAAAGTTAAAATTATGCAAATTACTGGCAAAAAAGGAAATTAATTATCGCGTTATCGCCCCGGGGGAGGGGGGGGGGGAGGGGAGGGACTCCGCATATGAAAGGGGTGGGAATGCTCGTCGTCTCGCTTAGGGGTGTAAATTTCGGATTTTGGTCTCACTTAGGGTGTTCTGGGCAAAACGCCATCATAATTTATTTAGCCATGAAGGTCTCGTTTAGGGTTGCACGCGAAAAAATATAAAAATATGTATTTGATATGTATATTTTTAATTCGTTTTATTTATCCCATTCACATAATCCAAGTTTTCTCATTTGTCTGTGTTTTAACATGGTCTCTTTTAGGGGTCAAAAAAAGCTTGGGCCACGCCCAGATCGGTCTCCTTTAGGGGCTTAATTCAAAATTTCCGACTAGCATCCCCACCCCTTTCATATGCTGAGTCCCCCCTCCGGGGTTATCACATTTTACTGTGATGCAAAAGAAAAATAAGACACTGCTCACAGTCTAATAAAGGCCCCAAAAAATTCAGTTTAGGACTCATTGGTTTTTGAACTGGGACTCAATGGTTCTGGACTAGGACTCATGATTTTTTACATGATGAGCCCCAGGACTCACCATAACTATTTGTAACAAAATCACTGGTGTTACTGAAAGTGTGGCACTGATTGAAGTGTGCTGCTTTTTTTAGGTAGGTACCCTTCAAGTTGGTGACAATGTTGCATTGTTTTGCAATATACCGTAAAATTCCGAAAATAGGCCCCTCCTAGAATATAAGCCCCCAAACCGGTAACTCTAAAAACGCTCTGTTAAATCGCCCCTCCAAATATAACCACCCACCCCCCTCCCCCCCGCCCGGGTGCTTGTACTTGGAAAATTGCCCTCAAATACAAAGTAAAACAGAGCAAAAGCGGTACATTTACTTTCAACTATAAGGCTAGCCCAATTGATTTTGAAACGCAATTTTCCTCCGTAGATAAGCCCCTCCGAAAATAAGCCCCTCAAAAAAGGCCTTTGAAAACTATATGCCTGTGGGCTTATTTTTGGAATTTTATGGTAGCTGAGTAAACAGTTCCCTCCTTGAGCAAACCTTTGCACATGTCATGCATAGACATACTGTCAGCTGATTCTACTCAGCACTGTTAAATGTTTGAGAGATAAAGGCATAAAATAAATTGCATACTGGAAATTATATGTAAACATTTTAAAAATGGCATTATCAACAAAAAAGACAAAAAACTTTTTTGAAAGGTTGTGTTTCAGTCTACTCCTAAAGGCCACAGTTTATCTTCTAAAGTACACAGTATGCAAACCACTGTAAAAGCTCCACAGTCTGTTGGTTCACATTCAGATCCACTGTTTTTCATTGCCATAAGTCTCGCAGTAATAGGGCATAGTACATTTCAAGATCCAAATTGGCAGATGGATACTATGGGTAGAACTTCATCATAAAATTCTTTAAATCTTTCTTTCATATCATGATCAAGTTGTTCAATTTCCTTGACAGTCTATTTACTCTTTTTAGCCTGCGTATCTGGCGAAGCAGGGAGGCGCTGTTAAGTAGTTTTTTAGCAGTGGAGATGCAAGAAGATTGGGAGCAAGTAAAATTGTTTTCTTTGACGCTCTCTTAGGTGACAGCCAGGCTTTCAACAAAGTACCTGGGACATAGCAATCCTTCCAGCTACACAGACTGCAGACTAAAGGACGGTACACACTACCTGACAAGTTGCAGCAACAAGACGTGGCGACAGATCACTCCGTGTGTACAGGTCCTACAACTAGTTGCAGCAACATGTTGCGGCAACACATCGCAGCAATAAGTCACTTCGTGCGTACTGGAGAAATTTTGTGAAAGTCCTTGTCTCTACAACAGAATTTTGTCTCTGCGAAAAGTCGCACAAATTGTCTGATTTGATTTTTTGATGTTGCTGTGACAAAGTTCTGTTGCAGAGACAAAGATTTTCACAAAAATTCTCCAGTACATACAAAGCGATTTGTCCCTACGACATGTCGTCATGACAACAAGTTGCTGCAACTTGTCACCTAGTGTGTACTGACCTTAACTCCTTTAGGCATTATATATTAATTTATCTAATTTTATTGTGAGCAAGTCACAATTATGTATTATAGCTTCTCCTTTTCAATAATGAGCATGGCTATGAAGCCTTTCATGGGGCCTTCTTACCATACTTTAGTTCTTGAGTTGCCGTCATTAGTTTGTGCAATGAAGCATCTGAGCGCCACCGTAATATAGGTAGAAGGTCACATCTTACCATTAAAGTCAACATGAAGTGAAACTGGGCAAGAAAAAACTCATTTGCGAGATCCAAGACTTGAAACAATGCACTGTCTTCTTTCGCAGGCAGACGCTGTGGAATTCCTCCTTCAAAAATTAAGTGACTCAAAAGCTGAATACCAAGGCATAAGGCAATAACAAAGAAGGCTTGGAATGTTGTTGTTTTGGTGTACACTATTAATACATAGTAAGCCATAGTACTATACAAAACGGTGTAGGCAAACTGTAAAAGATGAAAAGATGGAAAGGTATGATTCAATAAAGAATGAGCAGAGTCTATTTCATACAAAGTCTTATTGTTAAAGGTACAGAATACAGTCAAACCTCCACTAATGGCCATCTATCTACAACAGCCAATAATTTTTGTCCCAGCAGACAGTCTATACATTGGCTCTAGTTTAAACCTCATGGCCACCTCTCTACAATGGTCACTAATTTTTGTCCCAGCAGACAGTCTATACATTGGCTCTAGTTTAAACCTCATGGCCACCTCTCTACAATGGTCACTAATTTTTGTCCCAGCAGACAGTCTATACATTGGCTCTAGTTTAAACCTCTCTATAATGGTCACCTCTCTACAATGGTCACTAATTTTTGTCCCAGCAGACAGTCCATGCATTGGCTTTTGTTTAAACCTCTCTATAATGTCAGACCACCTCTATACAATGGCCAACGGCCACTAAAGTGTGTCCCCAACTGCCAAAATAGCCTCTTGATAGCAGCCAGTTTTGTAAACGACTGATGAAAAAGTCAAGAATGGTCATGAAACTTGACCCGAATAGCATATTGATGATTTAAGATTGCGACAATCGTATATGTACTTTGATTGTGTTCCATTTATGCTGCTACAGTAAGTATAACTCATCTAAGATACTTATAGCAAATGTTGTGAACCTTGCTTGTTTTGTCAAATTTTAATTCAAAACATTATTCAAGTTTTTTTGTGTATTTTATCTGGAACAGGCTACAGGAGACCTGGGTACTAGTAAGATTAACATAATCTTAGCCTGTCCACAAAAAAGGACCCCACTTACCCCAATGGGTGGCTCTTGTACGATACACAGAAGGCTCTTTAACAAAATCAACAGTAGCTGCAGTGAAAGGGGTAAAAAGTTTCGGCCAATGCAGAGCGTGGCCCATGCTATTGGCCATGATGTTGCAACATGAGTAGCAACATTCCTAATAGAAAAAAAAGTCATAAAATAAATAATTAAATAATATTTATTGCTCCAATCAGCTAAACTTCTGGCCACCCAGGATATTAAGATACCTCTTTGGATGCCAGATCCTATTAACATCCACATGGGAGGTGATGGCCATATACCAAAATAATCCTTTGGGGATTGAAATCTTTTCATAACCAAAAAAATTTCTTTCACTCCAAGAAATTTTCATATGACCAAGCATCACTGTGAATACTTTCTAAACTGGTATCCCAAGGCTGTCACTAAGGACTTCGAGCTGGGGATTTCCACCTGCTACCATAAGCATGACTACTTTCACTCTCCACTTTCGGAATCCCCATAATACACTCTGTATGCCCCCCAAATTTTGCATAAACTACTGTTTTCAAATGCTTCTGGGCTGGAGGACTGCATAATTATTGGGACATTCCATCTTTTATCTGAACCCCCCGATGGAAGTCATGATTTGATAGGTTTGCGATTCCTACAGGTCGCTTATCTCGCCACACAGTATGGAGGGCAGGGTTCCGACAGGCCCTTAACACTTAGATTGTGATTCCTACAAGTCCCAGATCTCACAATTCCCACAGGCCAGACAGGCCTTGTAGTAATCTGAGAATCTGACACCTAATTCCGAAACCCTTTATTGTAGTTAAAATGCCAGATTCCAACAGGGTTCTTCTGGATATTATTTAATTATTCCCTTCATGGGGGGTGGGGGGGGGGGGGGGGATAAAAAATTGGATTGTCCCTTTCAAAGGACGGGAAGGGGGCGGGGAGGGGAAGGGGTGTAGACCCGGGGGGGCGCCGTATATTCAAAAAAAAAAAAAGAGATAGAGAGAGCAGGACAGCTGGTACGAAACAACAAACATACAACCTAACAACAATACCGTGATAGCACGCATGTGTGTTTGGTAAATACAATTTAGTATACGACTTTATATCATTGGTTTTTTTGTTTGTATTTTTGATATGGATTTGTGTGGTGTTTTTTTTGTTTGGTGTTGTTGTGGGGGGGGGGGGGGGGGGGGGGGGGGGGGGGGGTGGATAACAAAATGGAATGTCCCATTCACAAGAGCATTTGAAAACAATAATAATTATTGTTACATGTAAGCACGATTTGGGGGGCAAAGGGAGTGTCTATGGGAGATCCGAAAACAGTTAATAGGAACCTGGAAAGGAAAATAAAACCAACAGAACTCCCCGTCTGTTCGAAAACAAATCGTAATCAACTTTTCCATACTATGCTACAGCTGTTAACACGCATAGGTTTATGTAGACGAACACTGATCATAACCAAGGTTGAGTCCCAAAGTGAAAGAGACCAAAGACGGCAATGAGAGGCTCTTGAATACTTACCAGAACTTTTTGTGCGTAAAACGCTTGACAGCGGTTTGCATGGAGCTGTCAATAAAGTAAGAAAACCCCAGATTCAAAGACATCTTAGTGAGGAATGATGATCGCCACCAAAAATTGTGAAAATATTACACGCAAGTCAAGTCGGGTTGTGACGAAAAGTCACGCAATATTCGCCACTAAAACTGATCACGCCTCTCTAAACAGCATTCTCTGCCAACTTTCAGCAGCACAGTCCACTAACTGAGACTCGTAGGTCATAACTTGATAGAGAATTTTACGAAATTTGGAAGAATGTTGGACGCCAGAATAAAGGAAACAGAGGGCTTTTGTTCGCCCCAGTCTTCCTTGTGAGTGGTCACCAAGCCATTCAAAGGGAAGGATGTTCGGCCGACTCTCCAGTTTGTAGAAGAAAATCCCCTCTGGTCAAGATTGTAAACAGGTATGCAAGAGGCTTTCATCGATATAAATACTGTTTTCCATTTGTTTCCTTTTTCTAAATAAAAGTTGTTTCAACAGCGGGAGTTTTTCGAAGTTTAGAGCACAAGACTCAACCGATCAATAAAGCTTATTTTTTTTTGTCATATAATTTTTTTTGTAAGCTTTATTGAGCGTTTCTTGATAAAACACGAATCGCGTCAAGTCTAATTGCGACTCAGTCGAACTACTTCAAATAAGCTTACTTTACTCTCACGTCTTTTGGTTATTCTGGCCAAAAAAAATTGGAAATATAACTCAAATTAAGTTTTTTAATAATTTGATTCGGCCATTTTGCACGATGGCGTCATTTTAGTACTAAGACCAGAATCCTTTTTGTTATTCCTTTCTTATTTTAAGGGAGGTTTAAAGAAAGAAGAAGGCAAATCCCTGGAGGATTGGGCTATTGCATTTAATATCCGTCCCCCCCCCTGCCCGGTTGAGGACTGACCTTTTCTCCTTACCCCTGAAATTGCATTCACCCCTGAAGACTTCCATAAAATATGGGTTTACCCCTGAAGAATATGGGTCCCGAAGAATTTCATGAAAATTAAAGGTTCACCCTCAAAGAATTCCATATTTTTTTATTCTACTCCTAAATAAATCCTCAATTTTTATAACTTACCCCTGGAGAGGGGAGGGGGATAGTCATATTAAAATTAAAGCAATAGCTCATTCTGGTCGTAGTAGTAAATGACGTCATCATGCACATGACCTGTTAGTGATAGTAAGCTCTGTAACCTGTTGTGAAGTTCAATAGTTTACTATTTTGTTGTAAAATGACCAAAAAGGTCGTACTTTAGTGTAATGAAAGAGAATAAGAATGTTGTATAATCATAGCTTAAACTTTAATTTTTGTATTCTCCACTTCTCAATTATTGGCAGGAGAATTTTGTCTACTGGATTTTCCTTTTTTGGGGAGGTTACAGATGTACTAGATGTACTCACAAGACAACCTGGCCTCAGATGTTCAAAGGGGTGATGGACAAAACATTGACCCCAGCCAGTCCGAACTACCCCAATGGAATACCCATATCAGAGTTGATATTAGGGGTGGGGGGTAATTCAAAAAGGGAGTCTCCAGATTTTGAATCTCCAGAGGTTGCCATCTCTGCAAATGATGGATAGGGCTCTTCATATGATAAAATCTCCAGTGCAAAGGAATTGGTTTTCCAACTCTCCCAGATGTGCCACAAATCTCCTAGTCTCCCATATCCCTTGGTCTCTAAAAATCCAGTGTAAGGATAAAATTGACTTTTCAGCTGTGCTTAAGTTTAGAATGTAGACCAAATTCTCCCCAACATTAAAAAATGTTTTAGTTTTTAAAGTTCATATAATTATGGTTTTGTTGTAAAATGTTTTGTTTTGTAAAATGTCAGCTGTTTCCTCACTGGCTAGGTTTGCAATAGTTAAATTCAGGGGACTATGATAAAACTATCAGTTGAAAACGCAAAGTGGACTAGTTCGTTAGCTAGGACCTGGCTTCTTTAGTTTGCAGTTTGAATGTTGTTTATTTTGGGCCCACAAGTTACTGCCCGAAGGACTTTTGAGAAACAGGTCGCTAGACCTTAAATTTGTGTTTGTTTTTCCATCAGAATGTACCAGAGATAATATGTTTTGTGAACCTTGATGATAAAGCAGCAGTTCAAGTGGCATATTAAATGAAGGGCAACAGGCTTTGATTGAAGTTCAAGTGGCATGTTAAGACCTGAGCCACACTCGACAGAAAATTTTAAACACAGCTGGATGGCAGAGGATCCTCTCACGATTATTCCAGCTGATATGAGTGAGTTATCAAGCACTTCAGTTGATGGATCTGAACATTTGTACAACAGAGATAAAATTGTCAAAGCAAGTGTGTGCATAAATGATGGTGAGACATCACCAGTCTTGAGTGTACAGCAGTTTTATCTGAATGGCCATAATATAATCATTTTTTCGGACTTATGCCAAGTGGTTTTAAAGACTTGGGGGTCATACAACAATTTATATAACATGTTGAAAAAACATGGAATCGGGACATGCCGATTTGATCACTTACAGCTTAGATGGCTGAAGAATTCTGGATTTGTTAATCTCCAAGTTAAAAATTGTTCATTTATTATCGAGAAAGATTTCTATCAAATACTTCACAAATATGATGAGGAGAACAACACTGATCGTGCAAAAAGAATTCAGCTGTCAAGTCCAATTACAATGGATAATCTTAGCAAAACAAACACACAGTCTCAGGGTGGGAAAAAGTACTGTAACAATGATATTTTGGCTGTTGGTAGAAAGACCTCAAGTCAAATCTGTGGATCTTCAATTCAGAACACATACACATATCTCTCTACAAATCAAGATCAAGATTTCGTAACCTTGTCTGAAGCTTATAGATTATTTGAAACCAAGTTCAGAAGGCCAGACCTTTTAAACCTGGTGTTACACAATCTAAAGATAAATGTATGTAAGTTAACAGCAAATGAAATGGCAAGGGTTGATACTAATGCTGGAGTCATGTGTAATGATGACACTTTAAGAGAACTGTATATAACTAGAGAAGATTTTGAGCACGCCTTACAGTACACCTCAGCTTTTCTTGATACAAGTCCAGCCACTGTTTCATCTGGTCATTTGGAAGCATTAAGTAATTCTATGGCCAAGAAAGGGAACAACACAGAGGCACACAACTCAGCTGGATTAGTATCTAGTTCCTCTTCAACAACCTCTGAAACACCTATGTTGTCTGACACTGGAAACTTCTTAGAATCAGAAACAGCAAAAGAAAGCAACAGTGTCCCTAGCTGTGTAATTAGAACTTGTCTGGTGGAGGGCGAAGTTGTTGTGTGTGTTCCTGATCTGCGCAAAGTCGTTATTGATCTGTATGGTCAAAGCGTCCAAGTTGGCAGCTTAATGCATCGGCTTGGAATTCCAACACACCGTTTCTCAAGCATGATCTTGAAGCATCTCAAAGGTCACAACATCTTGAGTTCAAGAGCAACCCTTTGTACTTACATCACAAAGGCAGATGCTGAAAGACTGCTCAAGATGTACCACATGTGTAATCGTTCCGAGAACCAAAGCGAAGATCCACCAAGAATTGAGTGGAGTGAGCCGATCATTCTTGCAAATGACTTCAATGCAACCCGTGGAGACCACCTAGCATCACCACAGCTGCAGCAGTGTGTTCAAGCTGAATTAAAGGTTCCCTTGTTTATCATAAACCAGCAAGTGGTTGTTGCTATGCCAGATGTTCATAGAGCTGTTCAATTGCTGAATGGTAACAGTGTGCAGTTACGTTACAATCTTGACAAGCTAGGAATTGTCAAACACAAATACTCCTACTCTGATGTACTTCATCTGAAAGTTTTAGGTCACATTAACAGGCCAAGTGTGTGCACATACATCACTAGAGCAGACTTTGATGTCCTTCTACAGTTTTACACAACTTCTGCAAATGAACACAAATTGAAGTTAATTGAATTACAGGAGCCAGTAGTGGTAGAGAGAATGGAGAGCAATTCTGACAGCACTTTTAGTGCTGGGGCTGGTGAAGAAGTTGAAGATGAGGATGAAACTAATAAGGATCAGGTTGATGAATATTCTATATCTGATCTTTACAAAGTATTTGTGGGTGATGACCTAGATTCCACTCAGAGCAGCCAAAATAATACTGATGATAATCTACAAGAGCAAATTTCTCAATGCAGGTCACCACCAACAAGTGTCAGCATCTTGCCTTCTTCACAACTCAATATTGTTAATCCTGACTCGGATAATGAAGCTGTCGGTGATGAATGTCAAGAAAGTACAACGACTTACAAAATAGTTTCCCCAAGTCTTTCAGATGCTGGCTCATTTTCCATAGCAGAGCTGGTCACTCATCCCAGTACAGCTGTTTCAAGCCATGTATCTTCTGTGTCACCTCAGCCTAGTGGGACACCTGATGGAGGTCATGTCTGTGTCAAAGCAGTGGAAGGTGAAGAACACAGCAAAAATATTAGCCCTCCAGCGACAGGTGTCTTTCTTGTTGGGATCAGACCCACTGTTGACAGTCCAAAGGGTGTGTCCAAGGAGATCCATTCTATTACTGGAACCCATGTTGTTCATCCTTCACCTTCTCTTGGCACAATTCTTCCTGCTTTTGGTTTGCGTGATGCACACTTAGGTGTCATCACACATCATGGCATCACAGAGCATGTTCCATCCATTCCAACAGATTATAACATCCATTCAACATGTGCCACAACTGCTAGCAGATATGGAGTGACGCCTTCAGTTGGTTTGAGTCCTACAAGCTGTGGTAAGATATTAGTCTATAATCTTGACTTGGTTGTTTGATATCATTCTTGATCCTTAAAATCTACTTCTTTGGTAAACACCCAGGAAAACAACAATATACATTAGGCAAGAGCCTAGTCTCCTACACAGCCATTTGTTGTGTTGCCATGCAACACCCCTCCCCAAGGATCATTCCAAGGGGCACTGCGGGACAAGAAAAAAAGTATGCTTGGGAGACTAGCTACAGCCAAGTGAGGTTCCACTTAAGCAAACTAGCAATCAGCTCTATATCATGATCAGTGTGCAAGCACTGAACTAAACCTGCATGCCCTTACTCCTTTAAGAGAGTTAATGCACATTTATGAAATACCGGAAAGCCAAAATTGGTCATGGATGGATGGTATTCGTGCTGCTTCTTTGAACAAGTCCCTTGCAATTTGCCAGTCATAAGTGGAAACAACAAGGTAGACAAGCACCAATTCATTTTTGTATTATAGGTTATTGATCATGTCATAATAATTTCCTTTTTATGGAATCAGTGATTTTACTGCCCAAGCAGACCTACCATAGGAGAAAAAAGTTACTTGCTTGGATGTAAGCATCTAATTTTTCCTGAAAAATATTAACACCATGTCATCAGAGGTAGTGAGGGAAAAGGAAGTTATTATTTTTTCAATGACTTTTTTTAACAGGTCACTGTCATCAAAGCAGCAAAAGACCAACTGAAGATTTAGTGAGTCATCCAAGAGTGTTTGAACAACCAGCCAAAAAATATAGAGGTATATTTTGCATGGGTTGTTTTCATTGTTAACGTATTTAAAATCAATGTGTTTGGGCTATTAGCCCCTGATATGTACCCTGCAGACTGGATACAATACATTATTTGATCTCGACAAGTCTCTGATTTCCTTTATTTCAGTGAGTGATGAAGATTTATTAAAGACCCTTCAGCGTAAAGAAACTGAAATGAAAATTTTACATGGTGAGGGAAGTAGTTTTCATGAATTGCTTCTACAGTTGATCCTTCATTAAGCTCCTTCTATGAAGTGTATGGCCACCCTCTATTAATGAGTGGACAGTAATCAAAGTCCCAAAATAATATTGTCACAAAGACTATATCATTGTAAATGAAACCTCTATTGAGTGGCCACTTCCATCAAGTGCCCGTGCCACATTTTGGCCATCCTGACAAGAGTTCTCTTGGCACCTCTAACTAGGGACCAACCATTTGACTTTTGAGGGGGGCGGATCATGGTATGGGCGATTTCAGAAAAAAATATCCTGCAGACTGATTTTTTCAAGGGGAAAAAATCTTGCAGGGAAATACTTGGGGAAAAATATCTTGCACTGAAAAAAGTAACTCTCATGGCATATAGCAACAGGGTTTGTACAGATCTTTGGATCCAAAATTCAAGACTTTTTCCATACTTTCTTCCAAAACAACAATTTCTTTTTCCAGACCCAAGGTTATCAAATAGGTGATCTATAGAGACCTTAAAAAAAGCAGGAACAAAGCTTTTTTCATCATGCACTGCAAACAAACAGGCAAGATTGAATAAGATATCCAAAACTAACAAATATCACTTCTAAAGCACTTGTTGTAGCTTTGAAAAGTTAGTGCTGTAACAGTGGTGATGATAGTGATAATGCTGGTGATGATGACAGTTCAGTTTATTCACACCTGTATACAATATTGACACTGTATATAGTAACGTAGGAATAAAATAACAAATTAGAGAGAAAAAGAAAAGAAATACATTAATGACTTTGGTAGAAGTGTGCGGTGGTTAGAGGAGCTTAGCTTTTGAGCTAACCACTGCGGACAACTATGGTAATGGTCATAGTAACAGTGGTGATGATAGTGATAATGCTGGTGATGATGACAGTTCAGTTCAGTTTAGTTTATTCACACCTGTTTATAATATTGACACTGTATATAGTAACGTGGGAATAAAATAACAAATTAGAGAGAAAAAGAAAAAAAAGACATTAATGACTTTGGTAGAAGTGTGCGGTGGTGAGAGGAGCTTAGCTTTTGAGCTAGCCACTGCAGACAACTATGGTAATGGTCATAGTAACAGTGGTGATGATAGTGTTGAAAATGAAGTGATGTTAATGATTATTGCAATGAAAACATTGAGGATGGTGATGTTGAGGATGAAATCTGTCTTAAATTAACATGGAGTCACACGTTGAAAAAAAAACTGTGTATTGACTTGCATTTAGATGCATATCAAGGGCAAATAAAACAGGAAAGAGAAAACAGACTGGCGATGCAACAAGAGTTGGACCGGTTAAAGGGTATGTTACTTATTACCTTAGACTCTTGTCATGGGCATTCAAGTATTAAATGATAAAGGTACCCTCCTTTTCATGGTATCAGGATGAATATAGAGAAGCTTCAGCATCTGAGTATCAGAAACTACTGTTCTGAGCCTTCTTTTTGTGTGGTGGTGAGCTTTCAGGTCTTAATCCACTATATACACTAACTTGATGAATTCGTGTAATCACAATATTGTTGTAATTTGAATTATTGACTTAACTTTGCACATAACCCCAAAAAGGAAGGAGATATATGGGTTTGGCCATGTATGTGTGGCACCTAGTTTATTTGCTTTGGTTGGGGGTGGGGGTAATTTGGTTGGTACCATCCGTCACATTTAACCCGTCAATTGCACACTTGATCATTCTTCTTGCAGCAATCATAGAGCATTTAACTGCTGAAGCTGTCTCTGCATAATCACAGTAGTGCTTGTAGTGGAGAGCCAATTTTAACCCTTTGAATCCTCAGATCAAAATTTAAATTCTCATTTGTTGCCCCTATTAATTTCCTACAGAAGTAGTTGGGAGAAGTTTTAATCTCTAGCAAATTCATCTTGTGTGATCATGTCCGTAATTCTCATGACCACTCTGTTTTACAAAGCATTGATATAACAAGGAGAAATTTGATGCTGATCACTCTTAGGGCTTAAGGGTTAAGATTTCATAAATAACGTACTTGTGGTGATCAACAAATAACTGTCGTAACGCTCAAGGTTTATGGGAAGGTGCATTGTTTTGCAGATTCTAATACAGCGCTTTTAAAGAACATCGAAAGAAAAGAGTTGGAAATGCAGATTTTGCACGGTAACCCATCTTTTCAACTATCTTTTTCCTGGTGATAGTAAAGCTATGTTTTCTTTCTAAAACTGAAAGTGTAACGGCCATCCTATCTCCCGATTCTAACCTTGATTTGCAAGTGTGGCTTACAATAACTTGAGTTTCTTGGAGCTATAAAAACACAAAGAAATAATCATGTAAATTTGCACTGCCCAACCCCCCACCTACCCTAACTTGAATGGGGGCTAACTAGAAAACCAAGCAGAATTTTTCTTCCTAGCTCGCACCTTTCATTTCCTTTATTAGTTTCGTACTTAGGTGAAATATCATTAAGAGCTCAATAAAGAATTGTCTTAATTGTTTTGAATCAAACTAAGTTGAACTGAAAACACTTAAACTAGGATTTCACATTGAAGTCCTCTCGTTTCCCTTATCGTCTTGTTACCACCAATACCACGAAACACTCATATCATCCGCATGTTTTCAGATTCATACAAGCTGCAGATGGACTCAGAACGAAAGAGGCGCGAGGAGCTAGAGAATGAAGTATTTCATTTAAGAGGTGAGTACAATGTTCCTATGACGTGCTACGAAATGAAAGCAAGACCAATGTTTCAACTAGAGTATTCAAAACTCATTTGCTAGTTTTTTGCGAATGCGTTATGAAAACTCACAAAGATGCTTAATCAAGAAAAACATGATGGAGTTCGGTCGCTTCGATCCAAAGTCGTTTCGATACAAACTAAAGTCGTTTCGATCCATCAACAAAGTCGATTCGACCCACGTAGATCATAGGATGGATCGAATCGACCTGTTGATGGATCGAAACGACTTCAGTTTGTATCGAATCGACTTGTATCAAAACGACTTTGGATGGAAACGACCGAACTCCATCAAGAAAACCGAAAATCTCCAGCCACCTTTACCCCGCCCAGGGATAGGTTTTTAACAATTTCAGCCAACTTGAAGTCATCACTCAGCCTTCCAAGCAGGCGTTTTAACGCCAAGGGGAGTCGTATTTAGACAGGAAATACGACCCACTCCCCAAAAAACGCCTGCGTGGGTAGCCTGCGAATACATCCGTCTTTCCTCGCTCCTCGCCACTAAGGACGTTTCGCTACTGCATGGGAGGTTATGAAGTTAGGAGCCACGGTTTATTCATGTTCCTTCAGCTCAGTAAAAGGGGTTTCATGGGTGTGGGCTCTACCATGGCCGAAAGCTTCACCTACTAGAACCCGACATTGTTCAACCTAGTAATTAAATCTGTCGCTGGTGTTCTTCACTTTTCTCCCCACTGTCGCCAGCAGAGTTCATTATTACAACCAATCAATCAGTAGCGTTGAAGTTGTGAGTAGTTACCAACTTGTATTGATTTTTTTTTGCAGCTAAACTTGGAGTCAGTGTGAAACAAGAACCTTCATAGCAATGAAGAATCCTTGGATCGATAGGTCATAAAGTCATGAAGTCCCTGATTTCTTTCAACTCAAAAGGGGTTCGAGGATTGGTTGTGTAAGAACATGCCGCATGCGGTGGTAGGATTGGAATTTGCGTATCCAAGAAACCACCCACAGACAGACGTTCGTCACATTTTCCACTGGTAAATGAAAGAGGCCACAATGAAGGAAGACCGCAGAGTATTAACCAACGCCGATATCGAATTTAAAAAGATTGTTGGAAAATATTTATTAGAGATTGAATTTCTTTTCAGAAACTTGATCAGTGACAACCCGAGGCTGATTTCAATTGTTTCAAGGGATTAATTTCTAAAGAGCTCATCGTGCCGCTCGGTGGAAAGCTTTTTAAGATAAATATGGCATCTGCAAGCCGCGAGCGTTTACAGAGTTTAACGTTCTTAGAGTTAGAATAAATCGCTCTGACAAAAGGGCGCTCGGAACGTCGACTTGTTGTGACCAATCCTGAATTGACTTCTACGATTTCCACTTCCATTTCTATTCATGAGGTTTTAAGTTTGTTGTAATATACACTGATAGGGCAAACGAAAACATGGCGTTGATCTTCTTCTTTCTTGAAATTGTGTGTGCACTCTGGCTTGTTTCCTATATTGTAGTGCTATTCCTTCATTGATCGTTATTTGCTGAAATATTTGGGCCATTAGAGCGGTTTTGGTTTCGGCTCGGCATATTCCCTGTTAAGGGAACGAGAATAAGTGGGCGTCCTAAAGCAAAGCTTCGGTAGACTGCCATCCGTCTCTTTACTCGTTGGATTTGAGCAGTCCATCAGAGAGAGGGGGAGAGAGTTTCGCAGAGTATCTCATTAACTTGCGTCCATGACGATTATAATGCTATGACTGGAGTTGCTCTAATTTCCAGCACGTGGGTATTTTGACAACCGGTGGTTTCGGCATCTGAGGTTCATCTACAGGATTTAAAAATTATCCAATGTCAACTTGGATAATCGTCTCAGTCTCTTTATCTCTGCAATGCCCGTTAGTAGAGAGCTTTAGCAACGACAGCGACGACGGCAACGAGCACGGCAAAAAAGCAACAGCTGCGTCCACACGAATCCGATATTATTGAACCGGATATCATTTGACATGAATCGACCTTACGCCCACGTGAAACCAGTAAATCCGCTCACCGCTTTCCGGAGTGGTTTAAACCCCCGGTCACACGAATCCGGATAAAAAGAAAAGTGCTTTAAAAATGTCCGGATTTGTGTGGACCGGCGGGCTTTAGATAAGCAAAACAAAACTTTGCACTTGCACGCTTTTTTGTACCCGCATTACTGAACACACACGACAACGATTTTTGGCACGTGCAGAGTTTTTGTTTGCTTATTAACCCTACTGCTTTGTTGATTTTGTCGTTGCCGTGGCCTTCTTCGTTACTTAAGCTCCTTGATAACTTTTAATAAGCTGATGGGGAAGAACCTGCCACCTAGAAATGACTCAGGCCTGGTTCAGACGCTGAACTTTTCATGAGCCGAACCTAATTCGAATCAAGGCCGACCCAAATAATTTAGACCGGCTGAATTCGCTTGAATTGATTCAGACGCCGATCTTTAAGTCCAGCGGAACTAAATTCAAAGGCAGAAAAATGCTCATTTCGGTTAAACCGCTTGCAAAATACGTTATAAGGATTTATGTATTAGGTTCGGCACATGAAAAGGTCGGCTTCTGAATCAAAGCCGTTCCAAAGTCGTTCTAAAGTCGAAATTCCCGGCCGGGCTAGGCGAGAAGAACGGCTGAGTCGTTTCAAATTGAAATAGGCGTTCCCAGTCCTGCCTGGTCGATTCAGACGCCAAACTTTTCATGTACTTTCTTCAATGTATTAGATTCGGCTCATGAAAAGTTCGGCGTCTGAACCGGGCCTCAGTCGTGCTTTAATCAGTATGTGACGGTAAAACCAGAGGAAAGGGTATTAAAGAGGCACGAATGAATTGAACGTTTAGAATCGTTTGAATTGTACGCATTGTAGGTATCTTACTGATGAACGGTTATAACAGATATTTGTAGCAGCAACAATCGTTCGAAGTTACGGTCCCCTTTCAATTAAATTTCACTCCGAGTTCCGCGATATTACAACAGCATAATTTTATCACTTCGTAAATTTCAATGGTGGCCTCGGACTTTAAGTTCCAAAGTTTTACTGCAAATCTAAGTCACGATGGCATACATTTTTGCTCGTTAGCATACGAGTTAACCTATAGAAGATGTACCGTATATACCAATTAGGTTCAAATATCAAAAGAGCTGGTTACGTTATGCAATTTGTGCAATTTTCAGCTCTTCGCAATCAGTAATAAAGAAAATAGCAACAATTAAAAACTGCAAAATTATTGGGTGACAAAACGATAATGAGCTCATACATTCTTTGTAAATTGTGGGGTTTTTCAAAACGAATTTCTTCGAAACTATTCGGTATATCGGGCTCAAATTTTCAGAGACAACTGAAACTGTTCTGCTCTTTCAATATTCAGAAATTTCATTTTATTAGCTTCATTAGATAATGATAAGCCTATGCTAATGAGGCAAAAAATGTAAACAAGGATTCGCGTATAGTACGTGGAAGAAACTTCTCTCTGAAGAGTAATGTGCGAACTAAAGAGGTAATACCTTTTGGCTTAAATGACGCATTGTTCTGGTCGCTCCTCAAAGCTGCAATGATACTGTTCACTGTGGCTCCTGGACCTGTCACCTTTCACAGGGATTATAAGCAAAAAATACGGAATTTTATTCCACTATCAGTTGCATAAGAGTATTCTTTAAAAATATATACCTCTTCACGAGTTCAGGTCGGACCTTGACCAATGACAGCAAGGTGCGTGCAAAGTAAAAGTCAGTCGTGACTTGCGTGACGTGACTTTCTCAATGCCTGGCACGTTGCTCACGCATGCTTGGAAAGAAGCTCACGTTTTCATGCGTTTTGGCTTGCACCAAATGACCTGTTGTCACTAGGGCGATTTTCTAAAAAACGGGTCCTGGCTGTAGTGAGTCTTTGTATTGGTGACAAGGCCTGTGGGCCTGTTTATCTTTGGATAAGGTAGTATACGGCGTAAGGTCGGATAGACACTGATTAACGATACGCATTTCTATTGGTCAAAGCGAAAAATACCATAATATCTATTTAATTTCTCTTGGGTGTTGCTTCATGTAAACCCGACTTTTGCAATACCTTTTGCTCCTTGCACGATGTGCACGTTTGCATACACTGCACGTGCAGTTCGTGCAAAGAACGCTGAGAGATAATGCAAAAGTCAGGTTTACATGAAGCGCTACCCACACGTCAGTTTAAAGACTGACAAAGCTTTAGCAATGACGACGGCAACAGCAACGAGAACGTCAAAAAAGCAATAAGTTTAACAACCAAAACGACAACTTTGCACGTGCATCACACTTAACTGTACATTTCTTTGCCGTCACTGCAACTCAGCACGTGCATCACGCCTTTTTGTACATTTCTTTCCCATCAATACATGACTACGACGTGAAACTTCACGTTCTATGGAGGGCGTGAACCCAAGACAACGATTTTCTTTTTCGTTTTGTGAACTTAGATATAGTCCTTTCGAATTCAGCTCCTGAAAAAATTGCCAACATTTTGACAAATTTAAAGAATTGGAAAGAGAGCGATAAAGTTTGAAGCAGAGCGAATTCACTTTTTGGGTGACGTTTTCGCTGCTGTTGCCGTCGTCGTTACTGCACTAGGGACTTAAAGATCCGAGGACGGCGACGGTAGAGAAAACGTCGCTGAAAAAGTCGATTCGCATTCTTTCAATCTTCATAGCGATTACCCTAAGTCACTAAGTCTGTGAAATGTAAGCTGCCAAAGTTGAATTCCTAAGAACCATATCCAAGTTCAGAAAGAGGGAGGAAATTTCGTCGTCGCTTGTGTACTTCCTCTGTGCAAGTGAAATTAGGCATTTTCACGTCGTAGTCGTGCAGTGATGGCAAAAAAATGTACAAAAAAGCGTGATGCACGTGCAAAGTTGTTGTTTTAGGTATTAAACCTATTGCTTTTGTGGCGTTCCCGTTGTCGTCGCCGTCGTTGGATCTTAAGGTCTCTATTACAGTACTGTCTTGGAGCCCTGAACAGGATAGGTCAATCGCAAAAGTCAGGGTTCGATTCCCAGACAAGCCTGAATTTTTTCAGGTTCTTTTTCAACCGCTTAGGTTGTTTATTCTACTGCGAGGATCATTTCCACTTTCATAGTATGATCACTACAATGTGAGCTTTTAAAATGTGCTTCATGACCCCCCCACCGGGGGGGGGGTAGTCCCTTATATAAGCCATATAGGTATGAGCCACCCCATCGGGTAGAGTTTTTGCGCCGTTTTGGTCTGAAAAAGGGTATACAATTTGTCCATTTTGGTCTGGAATCGGGTATGGTTTTCAAGCGAACTATGGGAGTGAATCAACGTATTCATCGTTTCAATTCTAAATGAGTAAGAAAGAAGGAGAAATGTGCGAATTCGAAATGGATTTGACGAATTTTTTTGTTTGGGTAATTGGGTAATTTAAGTAATGATAACAATTGGTAATTGGGTAATTTAAGTAATGATAACATAATTTATGCCTAAGGGCCAGGTATGAAAATGGGTATGGATTTTAGAGGTCTGGTCTGAAAACGGGTTTGGAAAATTATATTTTTTGGTCTGAAATAGGGTCAGGATTTGGAGAACCGGGTAGCACACCCCCACCAAGAATTCCCAGGAGTACCCACCGGGATCATGACCGCCATCTTCAAGCGGACGTCAAAATAAAATGATTACTCAGGTCGACATTTCTCTCCTCCCGTACCAACCTGTGATATTTGAGCCTGGTTGACTGAGGCTTCCTCTGGCGGCCAAATTATATTCATAGATTGTTCTATCGTTGTGATAAGTTGTTGAAAGTTGGTCTGAAGGAGTCCAGCTTGCTCTTCATGATCAAATAACACCATCATTTTGAGTAACGAAGCTACGTCCTCTGCAAGTAAGCAAAGTAAAGCCCTTATAAGAAGGTAACGTGATTTCCTAAAGATTCTTCTTATAAGAGGCCACATCGCGTGGATCGCTGTTATAAGTCAATTCGGAGCTTTTAAAAGCCGTTACTTATAGCCTTTAAGGTGGCCCGAACCTATTTATATGCCGATTTCTATTATTTCTTTTATTGACCGATTTCTATTATTTTTGGCATCCTTAATAAAGAATGGTCGCACTTTAAGACACTGTTTTTTATTTTCTTGTAGGTATCAAAACGTTTGAGATATCGGCATATGTTTAAAACCACAATTTTACAAAAAATTTCAATAACTTCGAAACCCTAACACAGATTTTTCTTTAACTTCAGCAAATAAACCTCAGAGTTCTCTAGTTTTATATCTGCAAGTTTGAGGTCAATCGTGACCGTAGAACTCGCTGCACAAATAGCTGGTCAAAGTTAACCTTAAAATGCAACGCTAACAAATTTGTGAAAGTTGACCCGCAAATAGGGGAAAACTGCCGACGGACTATCTCTTATCTGCAAAGGTATTCTTGCCCAAAGCTTCAGTTGCAAGAAACTGGGTAATCAGAAACCTACGGAGAATACAGTTAGCAATACAAGAAGAACTTAATTATTTCCGGAGTAGCCAATAAATAAAAATCATTAGCGATCAAGTGATTTTATCGATTGATAACGGAAAAGGGTGAACAGCTATCCAGAGGAATCTTTTAGTCTGAATTTCGGGCATCTCTTCGACTCTAGAGGATGGCTGAAATTCAGGCTGGGGAATCTTTTATCTAAGGTTGTATTTCTCGTGGTACCCTCCTGCGAGAAATGCGAATGTAATTAAACCGAACCGTTTCTGTTAATATGTACAAAAGGGTCACGGTTTTAGAGAGAATTCAGTTTCCACATTTCTTCTTTTCATGTTTGTTGATCAGTTGTTACTCGTGGATGTGTTTTCTCAGCTGTACTATTTCACTTATGCCAAAAAACAACAATGTCGGACTTACCGTTATAAATCGTTAAAATCATAAAAAATCGATAACATCGATTTGACACAGCAGTTTAGTTTATCGATTTTGATAGATTTCCGTTATCAATCGACAAAAATCACTTCAGTGATTGCTATCGATTTTTATCGATTGACTACTCCGGGCAGGACCTCCCGCTTGCGGGGCCGACGCGTTGGCCACTTAGCACGCGGCCTCTTTAAAAGGGAGGGAAGGGTAAAGGAAAGAAGCTGCAGTGAGTTCATACCGGTGGATTTATTTACGGATTGAATGATATCCGAAAGAGCTTTCATCAACGCGAAGTCCTCAAATCGGCTTCCTTCTTTCAAGCTGTATATCTTGCTTGCTGCCTTGCGACGGTTTTTTGAAGATCTCCTGTCATAGACAACAGGGAGCTTTAGCAACGACGACAGCGACGGCAACGAGAACGTCAAAAAAGCAATAGGCTTATTAAGCAAAACAACAAATTTGCACGTGCATCATACTTTTCTGGTACATTTCTCTGCTGTCTCTGCACGACTATGACGTGAGAATGCATAATTTCACGTTTTACGGAGGACACAAACAAGCCACGACGAATTTTTCTTTCTCTTTTTGAAATTTAGTGCGGTACCCAAGAAATCAAATCCAGGAAAATTCACCCACTTTTGACATTTCAAGCGAATTGGAATAAACACGGGAAAGTTTGAAAAAAATGCGAATTCCTTTTTAAAGTGACGTTTTCGCTAACGTCGCCGTCTTCGGTGCTAAAACTCCGTAATAGTGTTTTGAGAACGACACGATAAATAGAAGCGCTTCGGCGAAACCTTAACAACATCTTTCCAAAGCCTAATTCACATTTGGACGCAGGGTAGTGCTCGGTGACGGCGAAGATCTAATAATAATATAATAATAATATCAATTAAATTGTATTGCGCAAATGTCAATGAAGAAAAAAAATTCACCTGCGCGTTACATAAATCCTACTTACAAATCCTATTAAAAAAATCTACATTTATAAAAAAATAATAACAAAATACATTCCTAGTACATATCCTAATTCTAAAATTTCTGAACCAATGACCAATTTATTCCTAAAATCCTATTTACAATTCTGCTAAATAATTTATAAAAATAATAATTGAAAAATTCTAAAAAAAATGTCTAATTATTTCTTAACATCCTATTTACAAATGCTAGTAAATAATTAAAATTTATAAAAAATTTAAAATAATAAAAATAAATTAGCTAGGAAACGCCTTCTGATAAAAATTTGTTTTTAGCGCCTTTTTAAAACCTATTACTGAAGATATATATTTCTAATGAAAAAGGAGAAGATCCTTCCATAATTTTGGGGCAGCCATATGAAAAGATCGATCACCCCAGGGTGCCGGTAAAAGACTTGCAAGTTGGGTTGATAAGAGGTATGCCGTCATTTAACGTTAAATAATATCTGATCCCAGTGTCTTTAATAGATACAAGTTCGGAAATGTAAGTCGGAGCGAGTTTATGAATGCCATTAAAGTTAACAATAAGATTTTAAAAACTGTGCGATACGCGACCGGTAACAAGTGCAGGGCCCTTAGCAATGGTGTAATATGACAAAATTTGCTTTATTCAAATACAAGGCGTGAAGCAGAGTTAAGATTTCTGGTAATAGAGTATTTTTTTGCAAAAGTCTTCACTGGTACCTACCCTGACGATCTCGACCCGCGTGAACTGGTACTAGAAGCGTATTCTGAATTGTCTCCCACGCTGCTCGTGTCAGAGTAAAGATCTGTGTCATCTCGTACCACTCCACTCTCTGTTAACGTAAACAGAGACAAAAAATTTTCTGTAAATACCAGATCTATGTAGTAAAAGCCGGTTTCGCCTTCAGTTTTCATAGTTAAGCAACTCATTCATAACCTGCGAACGCAGAAGTATTTCCGATCGTCGCCGCGCATCTCTGCACCCGAAAAGTAACATTTGCAAACGTGACTTTTCAGGCGGAAAGAGCGATGACCGGAAATATTAGTGCGTCTGCCTCCCAGGCTACTTATTTAAGGAGAGTATAAGGACAGTAAATGACATACCTTGGAATTCTATATTTTGTTGTTCTTTTATTTCTCTAACCACCTGTAGTCTCTTGGTGTATTTTTCAAATAACTCCCTCTGTTCTTCTATTGAGCTGATGTGGTGGTTATAAGCTACAAGGGAATAAAGCTGTGTAGGTTTAAAGCCAGGCAACAGTTGCAAGTTTAAAGGTTTTAACATAATTTACGAGCAACAGTCAAATTTTCTGTGGCAAGTAGACCCACATTTTCTTCAGGGATAGTAGAGCGAGCAAAATACTATCCGTAAGACAAACAAGGGATTTCTCTCAATCTACTGGTAAGTTATTGATTGTTTTGGTTTTACACTGCCATAATTTGCGATTGGCTGAAAAATTTCGCGATACTTTTTCAGCCAATCAAAAGTAACTCTTGACCTATGTGGCGCATGCGCACTGACTGTCTTCCTGAAGGGATCAAGTTTTGCTATGTTAATCACTATGTAATCCCGGTAGAAGCTAAGTAACGCTGTTTGGATAAGCTCAGTTCTGTTGGTTACGAATTTTTCAAGATTACTGAACAAACCTTCCTCCAAGGCGCCTTTCAAGTGCGTCTCCAAGATATCTGTCCTTTCATTCTTATACATCTGAAATATGAAAAAAGCTTTAGTTAATTCGAGTCGAACCTCGTTCAGCGAAAAACAATCTTGAGAATTACTTTAACCCTGAAGCACATTGGAGAAAACTTGCAAATATGCGCCTTCCACTCCTTTTCTACACTTTCTTTTCACATTAAGAATATTCACAAAGAACTGAGCCTTCTCGTCTCTTTCATATTAAATATTTTTATCTTTGACTGCACCGGGAGACTACACCAAGTCCGCGCGCGCACTACTTAGTATTGGGAAAATCTCGTACTCGTAGTCGTCCTCGTCTCAGAATCTAAAGCTCTCTAATGATATCACTGAGTGAACTTACCAGTCTTAAGGCTTCCTCCCAATGCATTCCGTCAATAAGAACGGCAATGGCTTCCTCGGGGTCCTGAAAAATAACAGTCCAGTTTACTTGGCAAAGATAGCAAAATTTAGAGTATAAAGAAGACAAGACGGCCCGTCAACCATCGTATTGAGTAACTCTTTTAACGATTCCTTACATCAAACAACTGGACAAACAAACTAACTTTATTTGGAACGGGTGACACTTGATAGTTCAAGATGTGATAAACCTTTGGTCCTTTAATTTTCGCCAAATAATTGGAGACCCTTTACAGATCAAATAGAATTTGGATTTTGGAATGTTGGTTTTTGAGATGAGGGGAAAACGGGGAACGCCACCCCCCACCCTGCTCCACTTCAAGAAAAAATACTTTCGGGGGAGCAGGGAAAGAAAATAACAACAAACTCAACCCACACTATATGGCGTCGATGCCGGGACTCGAACCAAGTCGACGTTAGAAAGTTGAGCAAAAACGTTTTTGGGCGACGCAAGTCAACTGAAAGTATTTTCCTTTTTGATATGCCTTGACGCTTCCATTTCTTTAGCTAACTATTAAAGAGGCGATTTGCCCGGAAATTTGGGCAAAGACACTGCCCATGATCGCAAAAAACAAACTCCATTTCCGGTTAGCGTGCGTTGCTCAAAAACGTCTTTGCTTAATTTCCCTATTGGTGGCAGGCATACCTGTTTCCTCCTACGAATTTTATATTTAAACAAAGTCCGGCCATTGAAAAAACCTTGCACAAAGAAATTCTTAACATCTATCTCACGACTGTTTCTACTCTTGCAAGTTCAATTTACCTTGGCATATTCCTCCAATACTCTGGAAGCTTCGAGAGACCGCTTGTGTCCTTTCAAATAACCTATTGTAAATGTAACAAGTTAAAACTCACATAAAATAAGACACTCGACATGGGTGAGAGGAAATCCAACGAGAAAACAAACTAAAAAAGTGCTGGGAAAGGTTTCCTATTAACTAACGTAAGAGCACCAGAGTACAGGCACCGCCCTGTATGGATCACTAAGGCTGCGCGCAAACGGACGCAACAACTCCCAACATTGTTGCGCCAACAATGTTGGGAGTTGTTGCGTGCGTGTTGGCAGTGGTCTGCAAACGGATACAACAACTCCCAACAATGTTAGGACCTGCAGTGCATCGTGGGAAGGATACAACCCATAAGTCTTTGTAAACCATGCGTAATGAGCGTGCGTGACCCAACAATGTTGGAAGAGCTGTGCAAACGGATCCAACATTGTTGCGCTACGCTTCGGCGATCACGGAACAAAAAAAAGTTGGAAGTTGTTGGCTGAAAAGTTTGACCGGTTTCAAACTTTGCGTAACAACAAGAACGTTCACGTCGTAGTCATGCAGTGACGGTAAAGAAATGTACAAAAAGTGTGATTCACGTGCAAAGTTGTTGTTTTGCTAATTCTGACGTTTGCGTTGCCGTCGCTGTCACCGTTGCGTAAGCTCCCGCCTGTTATTTTCTCGTTTCTGTCGACGTGGTCGTGGTAGCTCGAGCTCGCAACAGGCGTTAAGAAGCAAAACAATTTTTGATATACGAAGATTTCGTTGAAAAGCCGACGATTTGATGGAAAAAGCGCAACGAAAACAACGACGCAGGTACCCATACAGAGAAGCTCAATAGCGCCAATTACGAATTTGAACAAACAATGACCGTAAAATGTACTTTTTGACAAAACGTTTTTTTTAAAGTGTCGATAGAGTTTCGCAAATGCTTTGGGTTGCAATACCTCTGACTGTGATCATTTTAAAGATAACCGGCTTAGCATTCTCATGAAACGGCACGCAGAGGCTGTTCATACCTGCCACAGATCTGGCCAATGAAATCACTTGTTCATCCGTATGACGTAAGAGAGAAGCCATGCAAAACACTTGTCTCCAGTTTCCGCTCTTTTGAAAAGACGACAACGCTTCTTCGTAAGCTCCACATCGAGTAAACACTAAATAAAATATATATCACACATCAAAATAATAATGTATAAGGTAAGACTCACAACACCTCAAATCTTTTCAGAGACGAAGTTAAAAGCAAGATACCTAGCCCAGCTTCATCGTGTCTCTTGTTTTCAAAAAGGTGCTCTCCATAAGCAATCGACAGCGCCTACACAAAAAACACCTGGCGTCAGTTAACATAAACGCTACTTTTCTTCAAGCAATTCCTCTCTCTTACTTGGAGAGGGTCGGCTGTTCTACCATACGATACGAAAACCTAAAACCACTTTGTGGAAAAAAAGGGGGCGTATAGAAATAGAAAGTCAGTCGCTGTCTTGTCCCTAGTCCTCTCTCGTGTTGGAATTTCCTTGTTCCTATAAAGAAGCCACTGACTAACAATACCGTCATAAAAACAATTTAGCGCAAACGGGTACGAGACACCTGATATGGTTTGTTTCTGGTTAAAGACGGCGTTGTCAAGAAAACCGTGATCTATACCAGCATCTTTCAAATGTAACTAAAAACAGCTCCAACAGTCCACTAATAAATAAGTAGAAACCGTCTTAAAAGGCGAAATAAAAGGGTTAGCGTGCATACCCTGTACTGCTCACTAGATTTTGGGTAAAGCTTCAGTGCCTCCTTAAATAAACAGTGTTCCTTTACCACTGAGACGAGCTCCTCAAAATGTTCCGCACCTAAAATATAATAATATTAATGAATAATAATAATAATAACAATAACAACAACAACAACAACAACAAAATAAAAAGTTCAACGCTTCATAAAAGCCCTAGTTCTCCACGCTTTCGTAAGAAACACGTTTTCTTTCGTTTTGTTGTGTCTTGTTTGTTTGTCTGTTAAACAAAAGGCACCTACTTGAAGCTTGGGTGGACAAAATACAGTGATTTGAATGAAATTGTCCACGTGAGCCTCGACCTCATTTCTTTATATTTGTTCACTGGAGCGGAATATGGAAAAGGTGTATTGTTGTCTTCTATTCACATCAATACACCGTAACTCCGTAGTGCACACTATGTAATCTGTGCACCACATGACACAAGCTACCCAGGAATGTTTTATTAACTTACTGCACAGGCTCAGATGATGAATGGCCTTGCTGTAGCGCTTCAGATACTTGTCGATTGTGTATCTCTGTAAATTCGTCTCCAATTTTCGAAGATTATTTAGAAACGGAAGATACTCTTTTGGATCCTGAAAAGGTCAAGGATAACAAAAATGACAAAAAATAATGTTTTCGGGTTCACAACGAATTATCCTTGTCGCGCTCCAACGAAATCGCCCTCTACGCAGGCTCAGCAAGAACCCATTTTCCACACGAGTGTAGTATAGATATTTACGATTCCTATGTGAAGTCTTTCACAAAAACTTGATGTAGAGATCGCCGGCCTGGGAATCTCAAAAGTTTACCTTGGCGACAAGAAGGCACTGTGCAGCAAATGTGCATATTTATAAACTAGCGCTTCAGCCTTTTTTAAAGTAGCACCCTTCTTGAGTGAAGAGGGGAAAAGGATGCTCTACCTTAATCACGTCAAGCCTTTGAAGTCGCCGAAGCCCGAACCGTTGGACTAGTCAATCTTGTTTTCCCTCGTCAAACTGGTTTTTCGAGTATGAGCTTCCGTTCATTGACAAACCAGTGGTCATAACTGAGCCCGCTGTACTAAGCGCACAGCTGTTAGGCCTGGGTTCAAAACTGTATCCCAGCAACAAGCAGCACATGCTCAACAAAGATCTTACTCGATTCATGTCGATTCTTTCATCGAGCAAGTGAAAAAAAGGGCTCTGTTAGCAGGGTACACACTCACTGATCCCAATGCCTTTACCTTTTGTGACTTTTCGGCGACCATAAGAACCAACTCGAAGTCGTACATTCCAAGTGCTACGTCATACATTTGATTGACGTCTACAAGAAACAGCACGTATTTAAGGGCCTCCTCAGACGTCACAGGGTCAAATGCCGCTGAGGTGACGGGATTGGCTGAAATGAAATGAAACACGAAACTTTAGATTTGACTTAAGATCACGATTGCAAGGACTTCGTTCTTTACGACAACTTGCTCGTGAATTGAAACTACCGTCGAGTGAGACTTAAAATTCTGTGTTATACGTCATAAAAAAAAGGCAAAAGACAAGTTTTCGTGATTGTATAGTTTACCTTAGTCTGCAATGTCATCCGTCTAAGTTTACCTTTCAAATCCTTGATAATGGAAAGAACCTTTTCTAGCGCCGGATTTGTTTTCTTGACGTACGTCGTTAAGATGGAAAGAAGGTACCTACAGAAAATATGAAAAAAAAATATATTAAAAAGTTGTATTTAGCGAAAATATTGTAAAACGTAACACATCATTGCAGATTAAAGAGCAACAGATCTGTATGGAATTCACCATTGTAAATGGCCACAGAGAACCCAGCTGCTGAAACCACTTCAAGGCTCTTTGACTCAAAGTTACGTTTCATAAATTGGCAAAACTCAAATTAAGTAAATACTCTGGCCTATCTTAAAAAGCGAATTAGGTTCTGAAACCCAATCGAAAGCAGTCACGAAATAACGTTCGCCTCATAATTACTTATATCCTCGGTAGTGCACTGGTACAAGCTTGCAATCGAGGCTAACTTGGAGAAAATTTTAACAGCTACAAATATTTTCACTTGAAAAGATTACGTCACATTTCACATTAGACCCGACCTGACCCGTCCCCAGTGTTCTCTATTTGGATACGGGAATCACGCGCGGGGGACAGGACGCGAGAAGCATGACCGAAGGGAGCGCGAGGGGTGATGGGAAGGAGGAAAAGGAAAGGGAGACTCTCCCATTGTTCTTCCTTCCCATCACTCCTCGCGCTCCCCTTGAAAGCGCTTCTCTCGTTTATATTAATAATTCTTGGTTTTCACATGAAGTTACCAAAATTCAAAACTAAAGAATTATCGATCCTCCAGAGTTTTTAATTTCATGAAGTGTTGGAGCAGCTAAAAACTTATATTTTCACAATTTTTTTACTTTAAAGGGTTCTTCGTTTTGTAATAGAGTACGCTTAAATTTCTAACCAGTTTTGTGTGACACGGTATTTACGTGGCGGCCGAGAGAACTGTCATGTTAGTAGGTTGAAAAATGACTTATTCTGAGGGATTTTGCCATCTGAACAGTCCTTGTATTTCGAAGAGTATCACTTTAATGTTAATGAGTTTCTCGAGGCGGAATGAATTGCTGGTCAAGAATGAAGACATTTCTCTCCTCTGGGAACTAAACTATATTTTCATGTAAATTATTCGAGAAAAAATTCTATTGTATTGACCCCCAACATGCCTACCTTGTCACGTGGTTGCAAACCAAAAAATTCACGGCCGTCATGTTGGTACCCCTCAAAGGGCTCCATATAAAGCTCTGTAAATTTATCTAAAACAATTCTCCGAATATCTCACATATGAAAAATTGCACAGACCTAAAACTTAGTGGCGATGTTCTTCTTTTATTTGCCAGATTCTGGACTTTATATATTGTTTTATATTTTATTTTCGATGGGGTGACAGTGAAAACTGGTAATAGGCTACAAGCTAAAGCCAGTTCTCTATCGGGAATACCAATAATATGGTAATCTTTAACCTTTCTTACGATGGAATTCAGTTTTAACATACTTGTTGTGTCCGGCGGTTTCTAATATAAGACGTAACGCGTCACAGACGCGATCAACTTTACTGTTCTCTGAAGCAGGCTCCAGCAACCTGTTGAAATTAAAAAGCAATATCGTTACACCGCAATTCAAGGAAAGTGAAACCCTCAAGAGATCTACGACAATAACAAAAAACTTACGTCCGTCTTGGTTCCGAATAATAGTCAGCATACATCGTTGCAGTTACATCTTCCTCCCTTCAAAACGAGAAAAAAAGAAACAGACAATATAAATAAATAAAGTGAGGCAATACTTTAGTTCGATTTGTAACACCAGTAACATCGAGAGCAGGAGACGGCCGCGTGAACCCCAGTTTCTCCTGAAAGTGGGTCTTTCCTTAAAAGAAAAAAAAAAAGCCTCTCGGAAGCCACCTTTCAAAACCCTCCACGGTTATGGAACCCTCCAGGAGAATTTTGCAACTAACCACAAGTGGGTCATCCGTAAAACAAGTCACAAATGAAAACCGCAATACTTCGCTACATTAGTTAACTTTCACACTGAGCCACTAACGATCTTGTACATATTGTTAAGCGCTTTAGAATGTTTTAATAGTTAAAGCGCTATATTAAATGTAATAAATTATTATTATTATTATTTACTGAATGTATCACACGCTTCTCTCGTATTAAGTAAAAAAAAAATGTACAGATGACAGAGAGGAAAAAATAATAATTGTACTCACTTGAGGTCAGTAAGAAATAAGTTTATAAAGTTCACAGATTCCACCTGGCTTATAAATGTCCCCAGATTATCTAGGAAGAGCTGTCGGATGAAGCGAAGAAGAAAAAAAAACAAGTTTTTAAGTTTTAAAGAAAACTTAGGCCTAGGTTAAACGTCGAACATTCCATGAGACGAACCAAACTCTAATTTGGGTCGAACTAAATTAATAATAATAATAAAGGTTTATTAAAAATCACAAACTAGTACCTAAAGGTAAATTACATTGTGTTAACAAAATAAGGCAAAAGGTTTACAATTTCTTATTCTGGAACAGGGTTACAATAATGACTCTATAAAACAGTTAAAATACCTGGTCACTGATGTTAAACAATACTATACACTAATGCTAAATATCACACTATGGTACTGACGCTACAGTAAAAGGGGCGCTGAAGTTCTACTGATGAAAGTGCAAGTTTATATGCGAGAGCGGGGAAAAAGCTACGTTAATATCTTTTGGTACGGCACTTTGGTAGGGCTGAGTTATTACTACAGCGCAAATATTTTGGTTAGGCACCGGACCGCGCGGTGGTGGGATGTGTAATATGTTCTCCTTGTTTGTTTGAATGTAGGTTGCATTTGTTTTTTCCTTTTATCGGTTTTCATCGAGCCAGACGGACGTTTCTACACGTGTGTATTTTTGTCGTTACTTTTGTTCGCGTTTTCTGTATTTCGTCGTTTCCTAGTGTTAGTGTAACTTTTTTGTTTTATTTTCGTCTTTTGTATTTTTATCCAGAAACCATGTTTATCGTAAAGTTGGTTTCACGAGTTTGAATTAAAGGTTGTGGTTTTGGCGGGTACATTAGTTTAAACACGTGCCTGTGTCTCCATGGAATACGAAGCCAATGCAGTTAGCGACGAAGTGGTTGGTCCTCGTGGTCAAGAAGCCAGACATGTGCAAGAAAGTACCCAACTGAAAAGAACTAGAGCTGGTTTTAAGCCGGTGCTTACGAGGAAGAGGAGTGAACTCTAACTCAATGGTGCTGACGTTGATTGTGTAAAGAAAAAAACATCTGAGCTTAATCGAGTATTTGAGAATTTCAAGGGAGCTCATGAATTGTACACGAAGGGCCTTGTTGATGTCGGTAGCATTAAGGAAGCTTATGATTATTTTCACGCCAAGTATCATGCTGTTAGTCGTTTGAGAGAAAAGATAGCTGGTTGGATTGTCGGTGTTGAGTGTGGAAAGGCAAATTTAGCTGGTTCTGATGTGTTACCTGAAGATTAAGTCAGTCAGGCAGGTTTAGGTGATAGATCTGTTGGTGGTAGCAAAGCAAGTTCTGTGAGACGGAAGATATGTTGAGGAATCAGCCAAAAGAAGGGCCTTCGAGGCAAAGTTGAATTTGTGTGTGAAGCAACAAGCTTTAGCAGAAAGAAAATTTCAGTTGCAGCAGCAAGAGAAGAAGTTAAAAATTAAGACTGATCTTATCCAGATAGGAGCAAAGGAGCAAGTGTATGCAGAAGCAGATGCTTTGGAAAGAGGCAGTCATTTGAGTTAGGTCTCAAGTTAAAGAAACTTTCTCCGCAAAATTGCAAGATCAAAGAACGTGAAGAAACAGGAGTAACTAACGTTGAACGAGAGGGGCTCAACCCTGTGGTCTATGGGTGGTCTCCTTCATCTCTGCCCCTCAGTGACCAAGGAATGTATCAATCACAAGCCAGTGTAGAAGCTATTGAAAGAACGGTAGACATCCAGGAGAAACAGACAAAATGCATGGAGGGCCTAGTTAATCAGTAATACAAGAGTGCACTAACCTTACCCTGCCTAAGCCTGAAGTTCCAGTTTTTGGGGGAGATCCTGTTGAATATTCAAACTTTGTGAAAGCATTTGAGCGTCTGATATAGTCAAGGACAGAACGTAGTAGTTCAAGATTGTATTACCTTGTCAGTATACAGCAGGAGAGGTTCAAGACTTGATGCACAGTTGTTTAGCTATCCAGAAGAAGGTTATCCCGAAGCCCGTAAATTACGGAAACAGCGGCATGGTCAGAGTTACAAGATTACCACAGCTTAGGTAGATAAGGTGACTTGGGGGCCAGCAATTAAGTCTGAAGACAGAAAAGGATTGCAGAACTTTGCGACCTTGCTAACAAGTTGTAGAAACACTTTGAAAAGTATTGGTTACAGTAGCAAGATTGAAAATCCAGACAGCTGGAGGGGCGTCATCAATAGGCTACCTTGTGATTTGAGGAAGTAGCGAAACATCGCTGATCAGATATCAGAAAATCAAGACAGAGAGATTAAGTATGAAGAAATTGTTGTATTTGTATAGGTAACAGCATGATTTGTAGTGATATTTGGCATAAATACCACGAGTGATATTTCTAAATTGTTATACGTAATTTCACGGGTCGTTAGGCGAGTGAAATTTGAGACAATTTTGAAATATCACGAGTGGTATTTAAGCCAAATATCACGTACAAATCATGCTATTATTTGTTTATACTACTACCCGCAAAAGGTTTGTAATTTTCACATGTAGGTATTTCAAATTAAGTCGAAATACCACTGCTCTAAGCCAATCAGATTGCAGAAATTTCTCATGTAGTAGTATAAGTAGAGAAACAAGCCCGTGCTGCTTCACACCCAGTTTTTTGGTGACATCTCAGCTCGCTCCTGGGATCATGAAAGGGAAAAGAACACCTACTCCAAACCAAAGGGGAAAAGGTTTGAAATCAAAGGGGACGATGCCGACCAGGGAAGAAGCAATGAAAGCAAGAAGGATCCCGCTGGTGAAAGGAATGGATCCAAAGATCTGTCCGAAGTGTACAAGGGATTATTATCTGCACGACTGTCCCGAATTTAAAAGGGAGTCTTCCCGCGGAGCGCGCGCAGTTTGTGAGAAGAATAAGAATAATCCAGCATCAGTGTGCGTCTACGGATCCCGAAAGACCTTTGGCATGAACTAGACTTGCCCCTATTCCTGAATCAGAGAGAGACCGAAGTCTGAAGGATCCTCAGTTAGGTGACATCCCTTCTGAACGGGCCCTTGCCGTCAAGTGGAATCTAGAGTCAGTCACATTTGGTTTCAGAGTGAAGGTTAAAACAGAAGCCTCCTACTCGCAGCAGTATATTGTCCTTAGTCACTTCAGTGTATGACCCCCCTGGGGTTCGCCAGTCCTTTTGTATTACTTACTAAAGTTATCCTGCAAAACCTTTGCTGTCATGGATTGAAATGGGACGATTTTAAGCCTAGCGGTTTTGGAGATGCTAGTAGCTGTGAACACCACCACTTCAGCGACGCTTCGCAAGTTGGTTACACTGCAGTCACTTATCTTCGCTTAGTGAACGAATCAGGTCAGATTATGTCAGATGATGTCCAAGGCAAGGGTCGTCCCCCTAAAGAGGATTACTGTACCGCGATTGGAACTATCTGCTGCAACTGTCTCTGTCAGACTTGAAGAGATGATAAAACGAGAGTTAGGAATGACTATTGATCGAACGTTTTTCCGAACAGATAGTACATCGGTACTGAAGTGTGTAGCAAACAGTCACACTGACTGTTCTTCTCCTTCTCAATGGAGACATGTCGTCGAAATTGAACCCAGCCGATGATTTATCGAGGGGTCTCAAGATTGATGAGCTGCTTACAAACAGCAGGTGGAAGATGGGTCCACCCTTTCAGTGGCAGAGAGAATACAATGGCCAAGCTATCCTGGTGTGGAAGAGCTCTCTCAAGACGATCCTAAAGTAAAGAAAGATGCAAAGGTCGGTGCTGTGCTCACTGATGGTGATGCTATACAAGTTGACCAGTTGTTTGACGGATTCTCGTCCTGGCACAGCCTTAAGAAGTTTGTTGCATACATCCTAAGATATAAGACAAGCTTCTGCAAGTTCTGTGTGCGAGACAAGGAGAAGCCAGTGAAACCGGTTGTGAAGTCTGTTATTGAGCCGATTAGCGTGCTTGAAATGAGAGAGGCGGGACGAAGCATTGTCAATTATGCTCGGGCGGGAGAAGCACTTCAAGGAGGAGATTGAATGCCTGGGTGGATGTTATAACTGTGGTTCCAAGGCAACGGCTCAAAGGAGGTTCAGTTAAGAGAGGTAGCAGCATATTTGGTTTAGAGCCCGTTCTGGTGCACGGAATTTTGGATGTCGGTGGATAAATGCGGTATGCTTCGCTGCCTGAAGATACCAAACATCAAATCACTTTGCCTAAAGACCACCATGTTACGAACTTGATAGCGCGGCACTATCATTTTGCATCTGGTCATTCGGGGGGAGAGTATGTTCTGTCACTTCAACGAAGTAAATTCGGGGTTATCTGTGCCAATTCAGTGGTACATAAACTTCTCACGAATTGTTTCAGCTGCAGAGGGCGACAAGCTCCTGTGTGTAGTCAAAAGATGGCACATCTTTCTAAGGAACGTGTTACACGCGGACAGCCTCCGTTCAGTCACGTTGGCATCGACTTCTTTGGCCCATTTATAGTGAAGGAAGGAAGAAGTCAAGTGAAGAGGTAAGGCTGTATAGAGAGTTGGGAAGACTTGAATCCGGTTTTCTACATTTATCTCTTGTACCTAACCACTACACTAAAGGAGCAATCGGTACCAACAGTAGCAGTCATTTTATTATATTTCTGTGGAGTTTCAAATAGATTAACAAAAACTGAGCTAACTACTCTAAATCAGTGCTTAACCCTGAGTACTAAACATCAGTGCAAACCATAATGGCAGCTCTATTTTCTTACTTCTTTACCTACTACACTGGCTGCCCTTCTTCGTAATTTCCTACTAAATGAACTTTTCTCCGTCCTAACAAAACGATTAACAATACTACAACGTCTAAACCTAATGAGGTGGTCGACCACCTCTTGCGCTACAAAATTTAGGCGTTAGCCTCTGAAACAAGGTTGGTTAATGAGCGGACCAGGCCTACATAGTATCTTAAACCTCACCTTAGGATTGTGGTCGTGTATTAAATTCAAGTTAATACGATGTCGCCGCATGGCTATGAAAGCATCCCGGTAATAAAGACTGAATAAAGAGAAAGGAAACACAAGACTTTAGAACGCTGACAGTTCTGTCACTGCTAAAATTGACCAAATTGAAAATTCAACAAAATATCTGTATTTTATTTTGTAAAATGCTGAAAAAGAAGTGGTACCATGTGAAAGTACTGCTGAAGAGGTTTCATTTGAATGGTCACACCAAAGGATTTCGTCCACAGACTCAAAAGTTAGAACAACGTACTAAATAAATAGTACTATGTGAAAGTACTGCTGAAGAGGTTTCATTTGAATGGTCACACCGTGGGATTTTATCCATAGACTTATTAGTTAAAACCGCCATACGAGATTCGATCGTTCACTCTGACAGAGAAAGGGTTTAAAGTCGGATTTTAATCTAGTTTTAGTCCGAAAGAGCGCACAACTAAAAGTGTCGTTTCCTTGATCTAACAAAGGCATGACAAACAAAGTTTCCCATTCAAAGCGATTTAAGTTACTGAATTAGGATATTTCGTTAATCCTCATCAGCAAAATGACAGTGGCCATCGCGTCGCCTTTGGAAAGGAATTGTTCACCAGTGGCAAGTCAAGTTCTTCATAGTCTCCTCTGTTTTAAAGTCATTTGATAGTATGATCTTTAGTTAATGAAACCTTTTATTAAATGGCTAAGTCCGCGAGTGGGCAAGATGAAGCGAATCCTGCGTTCTGATTGGCTACCCAACTTCCCGCTCGGGATTTCCCGCGATGGTCCCGCAAAAAGTTCTCTTTTTGGCAATATTGATAAATCCTTTATTGACCAAGGTTGATCAGTCAAGATGGCTGAATATTGGCCTCGTTCCTTGTCTCGTTCGAAAAAAAATGCAAAAAGGACTTGGCGAATATCCAGCCATATTGACCTCACGCTTCGTAAATAACGCATATATATTTCAGGGTCGATGTTGTGATCCCGTTTCTTTCCAGTGCCGTTGAAAGACAACAGAAGATTCCCCGGCGGGATGATTCTTTCCTCGGGTCCCGAGTGTAGACAGTTTCATCTAAGATTTACAGTACAAAGCAACGCATCGACGTTTTCAGTTTAAACACACGAAATAGCACACTTACCCATCTAAACACTTCTGTAAATGAGCCAATACTAATGCACGCGGATGGATGGTTTCCAAGTTTCCACGAGGCATCTGGCAACAACAAAGATTTAAGCCTCAAACATTAGCTAAGTGTGAAGCACTGCACGTAATACAGGCTCATTCAGAACTGTAAAAGGTACCAAGTAAGGTTGAAACGAACGACTCGATACAATAAATGTATGAAAATATTATTAATATAACGTTTTTTTTTAGTAAATCATTTTTACATTCACTGATCATACTTTCAAGTTTACGTTTTGGGTACTTTAATCATTGGATTTAAAGAGAGCATAGAAAAAACTCTGTAAAACAAAATGCCATAAAATGTTCGTTAATGGCAAAATAATTTTGGTACCCTGCGTATCAAGCGTTTCCGCGCGGAGTCGTCGAGAAAGTTGGAACGAGAGCGCAAAAAAGAGGGAGACAAATTCCGCGCAATAACTCTATCCGAAAAGCTTACTACGCAGGCTATCATTCTGGCTTAATCTAAATCTGTATTTTTATTCTTTAAAAACACAAACCTGAAGAACGACTTTGGTGTCTTGTGTAACAGCCACTACTATTCGCGAGCCTCTCTCGACACTCCTGATGTTTTCATCTAAAGGGTGTGGTTTGTCTTCCACTAACATTGGTAACCCTAGATGAAATGAAAATAGATCTAAAATACACAGCCCAAGAGCAATTACACCAGAGAATTGCACCCCGCGGGCCTATATAAGGGGCTCTTTGCAATACAGGGAGGAGGTCCCTAGCACCAATGCAAGAAGATCCTAGAAGGCGGATCATCTCAGTGCCATATCTTTTTTGTATTCAGTTTACATGCCAAGGGTTGTACTTGTCTGTAGCGCTAGGAGCTTCCTAGCTGAGAAATGGGATGATCCTGGTACGAGGAAGAACGTAGCATCATGTAAACTTGTGTCGCAAGGAAGTTCCTAGTACTAGGGGAAAACCAGAAAAATAGGATAGGAAGTGCTGAGGAAAGAATCAAGAAATCGACGACTGATTGTCATAAACGCTGCGAGTCAAATATATCCGGATGAGTTGAAAGACGACCACGATCGCGAGGAAGGTGAGATTGAAGTTTTCCTCCAGTCTCCTACAAAGACAGGCCTCTGTTTGGGTAATGAGCTAGCGCTCCTCACCTGAGTAAGCGGCGGAAATCGAGCCTACCTCGAAGAAGGGATAAAATGAACCAGCAAAGAGAGAAAAGAGAGCAGAAGGGCGCAAATTGCACGTCTGTCATAGTCGCCTGCCATCTTTACTTTCCTTCTCTACGTGGTAACCCCACGGACAAAATTTCTGCATATAAACCCAACGAAAAGCTGTTTCGCCTTCAAGGATCTTCCGGGTGCTAGGATCTTCCTTTCCCCACGTAAACAGATCCCTAAGCTTGCACCGATTGGTACAACCCACCTCCAATTTCAACTAACGATAAACTGATTTACGATTTAGTCTACAATTCTGGGCATCAAACATTTTTCGCATATTGCGCACGTTACCTTTTGCTTGACAGAGAAATGACATTCGTAAGCATTTTACTGAATTTATGACAACATCAATTTTTCGGGCCTTCGCTAAGAGAGAACTGGGTCCTACCTTGAGTGTTTGGTAATAGGCTGATACAACGCAGTGTGTGCGCATGCGTTGTTAGTAGTAAGAATTCATCATGAACCGCAAATGAACTGCAGTTTGAGGCCACCTAAAATGAAGTGTACGATAAGAGAATAAGCAAATACAACCACCGCGACTTTCTGATGTCGGTTATCAATATTACAACTGTATTGTGGTGTTTCAGATTGCTGATCAAGTTAAGTAGTAATAATCACAAATTAAGCACGTATTCCAATAGTCCAGGTTCGATATATTAAATTCTACCATGACTTCGAGGTTTTCTGGTCATTTTTTCTGTATTTGGTTTGCTTTTCTTTGTGCTCAAGTCTCTTCTGGGTATTGTGAGACAATGGAGTCGTGAAAAATTTGCGATAATAACAACCGTAAGTTGATTCTTCTCTCTTTCGGGTGGTCAGACTCCAAAACGTAATATTAAGGGTGCAGCAACAAAAAAAGCTTTCAAACAATGCTCACATTTTCACTGCAAGAAGAGGTCAATAGGTGTTTGACAGTGGTTTTACACCAATCCACTTTTCAAAGCAATTTAACCTAAGGCCGGTTCATAGAACGGATTTAAATTTACTGAGAGGAGATGTAAAGGATCAAAGCTTAAGTTTAAAGAGAAAAATAACTAGACTCACCTCTTTGCTGTTAACATATAATCTTGAATGTTGGGTAAGACCTAAGGCAACCTCCTGAAACGGTATTACCAACTCTGATTAAATGATGTTTATTTTTTACATACTTCATATAGAAAGCACTAGGTTGGACTGAGGTCAGAGGGTCGAAGAGGGAGGGTAAGGCCGAAAACGACTCGAGTGAGGACCTTCGAGAAGTAATGGAACAAGTCTTGAGTAAGAGTCAGGACAACAACACTAAACAGGGCGGGTTGGACAGGCAGCATGACGGCCTGATGATGATGATGATGATGAAAATGCTGCTGCTGATGATGATGATGATGTTGGTGGTGGTGGTGGTGATGACGACGACGACGATGATGATGACGATGATGATGATGATGATGATGGCTTCACAAACGTTGAGCCGGCTTCGTTGGTACTCATATATGGTTAATGAAAGCCAGTAACATGTTATCACTTTTCAATCTTAGTTTTGCTTTTCTTTTTCGAACAAGACGGAAGAAATAATCGGAAAAGCGCCGATGCGTGCAAGTAATTTATTCTTAAGCATACAGGTGTGTATCCTAAATCTCTTCCTCACAGCCTTCGTTGTTCAGGTAATTTCCATGTGTTTTATATGTTATATGTTTTTCATCACAAATAACAAACCTCGTTGCCCACAAAAGCGATCTTCACACATTGGCAAGGCTGCGGAAGAGACACTTCTTCGCCTCGGCTGTTTGTCCATGGAGATAACGAAGCTTGGTTTGAATCTAAAACAAAAGAGAATAAAATAATAACTAAATGAAAACACGAAAGGGCCAGCTAGTCCTCAAGGCATGGAGAGACAGGGTACTTATTTCGGCGCTAGGATTCCTGGGATCGTTTAGGCAACGAAATTAATTTTGATAGGTCCGAGGTTTCTAAGGCAACCATTAACCAATCATAGCCCATAACAGCTACTAAAACGACGATCCCATGAATCTCAGCGCTGATGGCTGGTATGTACTTCTCAAAGTTCTGGTGAGATGAATGGTAAAATACTTGCTAATGTTCTTAAAACGCACTTCAAGAAGACTTTGGCTACTTCAACCCGTACCGGAAGAATTTTTGAACGGCAGGAAATTCGTACATTGATCTGTATCGTTCACAGGGAACCTAGCTAACCGTACGAAAATTTGAACGCTTAGCCGTTCAAAAATTCGAACGCTTAAATCGAGGTCAAATTTTAAGCCGGTATGGTCGAAAATTTAACTAGCGCGGTGTGAACGCCATGACCGTCTAAAATTTCGTACAGCAAAGACGCGGTTGCATGGATGCGTGGTAACTAGGCTGGCAGACGCCAGTTTGGATTTGCTATATTAGCGCTCTGCGCATGGGCAGATGGTAAAACTTAGCCGTTTAAGCCGGCATGGGCGAAAATTTAACCGACGCGATGTGACACCATAACCGTCTAAATTTTTGTACGAAAAATTTGACCGGCCAGGTGTGAACGCCATAACCGTCTGAAATTTCGTACGGCAAAGACGCAGTTGCATGGATGCGTGGTAACTAGGTTGGGAGACGCCAGTTTGGATTTGCTATAGTAGCGCTCTGCGCATGGACAGATGGCTGGTTCGTCGGTTCCGTGTGAACAGCGCGAAAATATTGAACGGTTCCGTGTGAACAAAGTGTCTGGTCAAATTTTTTAGCCGGTCGAAAATTCGTCCGGTGCCGTATGAACTAGCCCTTGTTTTAATAACCGACCTTAAGCCATGGCACGCACTCAAGTGCGAATGATGTACTGACATTCCAATCATGTCTATTAATAAGAAAGCCACCATTAAGTTTGTTTTTGGTCTGATTAGATGAGAAGGTGGCATTTAACCGAGCAAGATGTTTATTAAAGAAATAAATATTAAACGAACACAACTTTCTCACGATGATAAAATCGGCGACAAAGTTGTCGAGAGTTTGTCCTCTTATACTACTACATGATAAATTTCTGCAATTTGATTGGCTTAGAGCAGTGGTATTTCAGCTTAATTTGAAATACCTACATGTGAAAATTACAAACGTTTTGCGGGTAGTAGTATAAACAAATGATAGCATGATTTGTACGTGATATTTTACATAAATACCACTCGTGTTATTTCAGAATTGTCTCAAATTTCACGAGCCGTTAGGCGAGTGAAATTCCGTATAACAATTTCGAAATATCACTCGTGGTATAAAATATTACTACAAATCATGCTATTACCTACACAAATTGGGTAACTTTGGAGAACAAAACAATCCACGCCCTACCCCTCCCCTCCATTCACATTTGGGGTGTTTGTTGTTTCCTACAGGAAGCTAGAACAGCGCAACAACATTGCATGAGGTGGGTGGGAGAGAGGAAGCTTCGTTTTACCCTTTTGAAGTGGGTAAAACGTCAGAAAGGCCCTTTCGGGCAAACTGTTTCGACTAATTTTGCCGCCGATTACAGAATTAAAACTGCTTGATAGCCTAGAGAAATACCTGAGCTGTATCTAAGCAGTGATCCGCTCATGAGTTCAACAAACACAGATCCTGAATAGGAGCTTAAACACAGGCGAAGGACTGGCTCCTCAGTTGCTGTCTTGTGCCTGAAAATGGATACAAAGGTGGTCCAAGTGAGTACCATTTAGCCTGGGCATTAAATCAAGATATTGACCGCGAGGAAGGGAAAGGAGGTACCGGTAGGGTAGAGCGCTAACTTGCAGAGCGGAATGTCGCGGGTTTGTTCCCCGGGGGTTAGACCAATACTCATGGTCTTAAAAAAGACTGAGAAATGAAGGTACTGCCTTTGCCCTACAAATGGCTAGACCTTCGCGTGGCAGAAAGGATGACGTAAAATGGCAGTCCCGTCTCCAGTAGGAGACGTAAAAATAGTGTCCTCAATTGTTACTTTGGTGCTAAATACATGGACATTCAAATGAAGTGCTTTTTTTTCACTAAGGGATATGATTAAGTGAATACCTGATAACAATTCTGTTGCTGTTATTTTCCGTCACAATCTCTAGTTCACAAATAATGTCTGCTTGAGTCATCGAATCCCATCCCAAGGCTAAAAGTGTACGCTCCTTCCACCACATTAACTGACGCCAGCTCAAAGGACCTCGCCAAATCGACGGATCATCTGTTGTGTCTACGCTTCAAAGCAGAAGCATCAATCAAGTCAGATACAACAGTTAAGTAAGATACATATTTGGCTACGTGCAAACGGGCGCAACAACTCCCAACAATGTTGGGAGTTGTAAGCCAACAATGTTGCGTCCGTTTGCACGGGGCTAAAAGTTTGACCGGTTTCACACTTTGCGCAACAACACGCAACAACATCCAACAACATGCAACAGGGTGTGCAAACGGACGCAACATGTAACATCCAACAATGTTGGGAGTTGTTGGTCAACAATGTTGCATCCGTTTGCACGCAGCCTTAGAAGTAATAAGTCTGATTTTAACAAGGGTTAACTTACTATAACACACTAAAGCTACCTATTCTTCATCGCTAAGCCATCAGTCATAACATTGAGAGTAATTAAAGATGCATATTAAAAATGTTTAGTCTGATGTTAAAGCTGGTAACTTACTATAAAACACTAATGGTTATGCTACGTATTCTTTACTGCTCAACCATCAATCATAACCACCACGCGTGCTTTGTGAAATAGCTAAACACCTATTGTAGCAGCCACGGTACCTGATGATATATTAGGGAGCTTTAGCAACGACGACAGCGACGGCAACGACAACGGCAAAAAAGCAAAAAGTTTGATTAGCAAAACAACACGTCTGCACGTGCATTAAAATTTTTTTGTACATTTCTTTGCCGTCACTGCACGACTACGACGTGAAAATACCTAATTTTACGTTTATGCTACGTGCAAACAGACGCAGCATTGTTGGACAACATCTACCACCACTGTTGGATGTCACATGTTGCGTCCGTTTGCAACCCTGTTGCATGCAGTTGCCTGTTTTTGTGCGTGTTGTGTGTGTGTTTTTTTTTGGCAAAATAAAGCGATGTTTCTGCTAAAGATTATCAAATGCTAAATATTAAGCGGCCAACCTGCTAGCCTACGAAAACAGCCATCCTTCCTTGCTCCGCGCCGCTGGGGTCGTTTCGCCAATAGAGTCGTCTGCGCTTCAGCGAAACGTCCCTAGCGACGAGAAGCGCGGAGAGAGGGCTGTTTTTGCAGGTTACGAACCTATCAAGCGGCCACTAGTCACTAACCCCAGGATGACCGCTGTAAATGGAGGTTCAAGTGTACTTGTTTAACCAAACATTAGATTTTACAGTAACTTTCAATACACTCGTCTCGATTGCACATTCGAGATTGTAGTACCTGTAAGCTGCTACAAGTGTCGGTGCTTTCCCTGGAGGTTTGAATTTTTCCTTGACACCATTTTCTACCGGTGATTTGTAGATAGCTACACTACCATTTGACAATAGAACTGCCATGTCATTACACATGGGTGCTGGACCAAAGCTAACAATTGATGCTGGTGATGGCAGATCTATGGTAAGGGCTGACATCGGTGGAGGAACAACCATGTGTTCCATTGGTGTAAGCAGCAACTTGGCTGGGAACAATAAGGATATATAATAAACATTAGTACTGTAACGGCACAGAATACACTAGGCAACATGTGGCTGCAACAAGTTGCACAAGGCAACAAATTTCGCGACACATCAGAGCGACAAATCGCTTTTGCATGCACTGGAGAATTTTTGTGAAATTTTTGTCTTTGAAACAGAATGTTGTTGCCGCAACAAGTTGCACAAATTCAATCTGATTTGACTTTGTGCGACTTGCTTGACTTTGCTCGACTTCTTTGTGCTCTATACCATCAAAATGCACTCTTGAAGATCTTTCAAAGGTTCACAGGAAATCAAAGGGTAATACTGGTTACACCAGGAAACCCCAGATTAATCTGTTTAACTCAGAATTACTAAAGTGTTTCAAAGTGCTGCACACTTTTGCGGTGTCCCCTGCCATATCTGGCTAAGCTAAATAATTCTATTGAATTAAATTAAACCAAATTAAACTGGTTTACATTTGACATTGTGGTACACTATACTTCTCAATGTACAAACCTCCATCTATCACTGCCACTGTAGAAATGTTCTGTTCAGAGGTTCCCTCACTATGCACAGTGCCCCAGCACCAGTCGTAACACAAATATTGTCCTCCTACCAAGAAATTAATAACACCAAAACTTGGCCCAAAACGTTTTTTTATTAAAGCCAACAAAGCAACTACAAACTGGTTACCAAACGTTACAAGTAATATATTTGCAAGAATCATTGATTATTGTGATGGAGGAAAATAAAAGGTAGATATAGAAACTGTCTTACAGGTCCATGTTCAACCGATGCATGACAAGTAACAGCTAGTTTCTACATTATGAGAACATACAAGAGAACCAACCAACAATCTGATTGCAACATTTAATGATGCAAGCATTTCAAAACAAAAACAACTGGTGCTTGTATACCTTGTTGGATGAAAGTGAGTTTTTAATAAATACTCTTTATGTAGCTCTTACCTTTTGTCATTAAATGCATCCTCAAAGAGACTTCAGGATCCCACGTAAAACATGCTACTCTGTCTTTCAATGAAGCTGGGAATTCAAGCTGTTGCTTAAGGTACCAGTGGTAATTATTTACAGTCCATAATTGAACTAGAAAAATAATACCATAACTAAATATTGAAAAATTATTACCAGTAATTATAATAATTTTACTGAAGATTTCTGGTAAAAGCAAACAAACAAAACTAAAATCACAGTCTAAGGGCAAGCTTCCCTGAATATTTTTTATCTATAGTAATTTTTCACATTCATAACGGGAATACTCAAGTTCCACAAAACTCAATTTTTGTGTACAGATAATTAACCCTAAAGCACGGTGGCCCAGAAGGGTCACACGTGCAAATTAAAAATCTTGCTGCAAATTAAAAATAGTACATGCAAATTAAAAATTGTACATGCAAACTAAAAATATTACCTGCAAATTAAATATAGTACATGCAAACTAAAAATTTTGCTGCAAATTGAAAATAGAAAACATATTGATGCAAATTGAAAATGAAAAGTCCTGTGCACGCAGTACGAGTGATGAGGACCTGGTCTGAGCCTTGTGACCTGGCCTAACGGCCGTCGGCCCATTCATGTTTCATGTTTGTAATATTTTTAAAACATTTTTAATTTGCAGGTAAAATTTTTAGTTTGCAGCAACATGTTTAATTTGCATGTGTGACCCTTCTGGGCCACCGCACTAAAGCCATTCTGTCATGCAAGACCTAAAACACCTAGACAGTTTCTCCTTAGAATTTTTTTTGCCAGAGGCATGCATGTGCATTTTTTTTTGCAAAATGGACAAAAAGGAAAGATCAGACACAAGGGACTGCATAAAATGAAAGAATGGATTCTGTTATCTTGTATGCGACAGCAGTGACTCTTAAATTTACCATAAGACTTTGGAACAAACTGTGATTCAGTCAAATCCGGAGACTGCAATTCTACTGCCCACACAGCTAAGACTGTTGAATCTATATTCCATGCCAGCTCTACAACCTTTGAAAAAAACACAGATTATTCATAAAATAATACACGTACTACAAACCATTTATGGATATTTCATGACCAAAGTAAACCCACAACTAAAATTTAACACTTTTTATAACTTATTATCAAACCAATCGACAAACAAAGTAGATGGGTGTGGGGAAGGTGCCTGGTGAAATGGAAGGGAGCCACAAGCAAGCCTAGAAGGTAACCATGAACATCCTGTGAGCGACAGCCACCAGGCACCATCACACTGAGAACCTCAGTGGAGAAATAGGCAGATACTTACCAAAGGGCATCCAGAGGGCAGGGAGGACTGGGAGCAAAACAGCTATAGCTACCGCAAGCAAAGGCAATGTGAGCCAAATGATTGACCCGTCTCAGTAAAAGCACTGTCAAATTACTAGAGTCGTGCAAATAGCCAACACTGCCCCCCCCCCCCAAACCTCCATAAACAGTTAGAGTTTGAGACTGCTAGCTAGCCTGTGAGGAAGCTCTCCTGATGATCCCAGGGGTACACCAGAGCACCCTGGGAGAGCTTGCTTGCAGGCTAACTGCTGGCCAACATAATTATTTGTCTTGAGTTTAAATTAAATCACATTTAGCCACATAAAATATCTGAAAACAGGCTTACTTGTACTTCCATCTTGTTGAAAGGCAAAATGAATTCACCATGTCTAAGGCCATTTCTTTCAAAGAAAATGATCTCATGTCTATGGGGTTTTCGTTGGGATGAAGCTATCACGCTGCCAGATGGTCTAAAGAGGTATAAAGAAAAAAAAAGAAAGAAAAACGTGTTGAAAAATACAGTTTCTCATGACTTCTGATGAACTTGTCACTCAGTGACTCGATAGCTGTAAGTGAATGTCCCTCTTTGGCCAGGCATACAGTATGGAAATATAATTATATTCTTATTATTATTAACCCCCACCCAGTTAGCTCAATTGGATAAGCACCGGTCTGCTGAGTGGGAGGCACTGTTGGTTCAAACCCCAGATGGCCCAACACTCAGGGTCTTTAAATAACTGGCGAGTGAGAAGAAAGTGCTGCCTTTGTAAAGACACCTACAAACAGTTAGACTTTCTCGTCTTCTAGGATAAGGAAGATAAACCATAGGTCCCGTCTTGCAACCCTTGCAGATATAAATTCTGTGGGGCATTAAAGAACCCACCCACTCTTTGTAAAGATCAGGGGATCGATGTAGTTCCTGGTGTGGTGGTCTTTCTCTCATGGGGGGTGGAGGAACTGTTAAGGGCCCGCACAGTGGCGCCACGCGCTGTTGCAGTGACCCTGCCAAGAATTGGCAAACCTAAGTAAATAAATAAATACAAAAATAAATAAATTAAAAATAAAGAATTAGTTCTCATGAGCAGTACATGTAAGTGGTTATGAGCCTTTGATAACACTGCATATAAGTGGTAAAATGAATTTTGAAAATAGTAAGTAGATCATTCCACTTGATTCCTAGATCACAAAATTAGCAATATTATATTCAGACAGGCTGATGGAATGTCTGAGCAAATGCATGAAACACATAATCAAAAAATATTACATTTTTTAACAAAACGTTAATTAAAAAATTAATCAACGTTTTAACCCAAACTGCTGACAAACAAACCAGCAACTTTTTCCACAAGACTTGCTTTGATGAAAAGTTTTCGCCATCATTTGCATGGGTTGAACTTTGAGATGTCGACGGTTTCGGGTGCAAATTGGCCACCAAGCTGTCCATGTAGGAAATGGTTTGGGCAAGTGGTACAACATCTCGTGGATCAGCAGACTGGTAGGTAAGTGCTTGAGAGTTAAGTAGGCTCTCAACTCTAGCAACAGCAGTAAATATTAGCTCCTCAACAGTTACTGGCGGATTGAAATTCCACTTCACACGTCAATAAGCTGTGTCCTGCTAGATTTTGTTTTGGTCCAACTAACTGCTGAGTTCTTTCAGTTCACTGACAGCTCTCACGAAGTTCATCCCACAGTCACCAATCATTTCCTTTGGCACACCTCTTTGGCTGGTTTTTTCCTGTGAAGGCATTCAGAAAGCTGTCTGTATCCAGACCAAATGCTGTTTCCAAATGAACTGCAAGAGTCGACAAACATATAAACAAGCAAAGCCACCTCTTCTAATGGTGCACACCTATTCCTTGTACCGTGGTAAAAGGACCAGCTTAGTCCACTGCTGTTTGGTCAAAGGGACGGAAGGTGAACCTAAGGTGGATCTTAGGAAGCATCCATGATCTGTGTTGATGACTTGTTCCTCCTTCGTTTGCACATGTTGCATTCTCCCTCCCATTCTCGAATCTCCCCATGGGCTGCAATTACCCAATACTTCTCACTTATTTGGGACAGCAGAAAATTAGTACCTGCTGAATGGTTGGCATGTTCATGGTAATGCTTAACAATGAGTTTTGTAACCTAGTGTCCTCGCAGCAGTAACTTAGGAAATCGTACACCATATGGCAGGTACTCAGCAAATTGCACTCTTTCATTAGAAAGGAGACCGCCATCCTCATCAAGCACTGGGTTCAGCTTGAAAAGTGGGCTCTTTGGCCACATTGGCTTCCCAGGCCTTGTAATCGTTCACGAATGCTTCACGCTGGCATGACCACACCACCTCATCCTCAGCTTCTCTGATTTCATGCTGTAACAACACTTTGTTGATCTGCCTTTCTTGCTTTCTTGACATGTTGAGAAGAGCTCTCCTTCACTCTTGCATAAACATGGACTAATCAGCTCCAATTGGAGAAGCGCTTTGGATCCCATCTCCAGCCTGCGGTGGTTTGTCTGCAGCAACATGTATGCGGTAAACTCTGTCTCCTGCTTCTTTCCTGTTTTCATCTCTGGCATGATGGTTGGGGGCTGGTCTACTGGCTGCATTTTCGGCCACTCACTCTTCTTCTTACTCAGCCACTCAAGACCATCCCACCATAGAGGAGACTCAGCAAGTTCGATTAGACTAGTTCCTCTGGAGCACAGGTCTGCCATATTTTGTTCAGTGGGAATGTACTGTTATTGAGCTGGATCTGTGTGCATTTGTATTTCGCCAATGCAACAAAGGGACAGAAAACTCTCCCTCGTCCTCAGATCCACCACAAAATGTCCCTGCTGTCAGAGTAGAAGGATGCAGCCTTACAGAGTACTTCTAGTTCTCTTGAAACGGACTGGGTTAACCTCAACCCAACGATGGCACTGATTAATTCCAGCCTGGGTACAGAAATAAGTGTGAACAGTGCTACTTTGCCATTAGAGGCTATTAGTTGTGTGGTTACCGAGCCCTCTTCATACCCGCTTGGTAAATGTGACAGCTCCATAAGCTTGCTGTGAGGCATCAACAAAGGTTACTGCTTCCTTACATTTCACTGGCTGTGGTGGTTTTCTCAGGCATTAGGGAACTTTGACCTCTTTTAAACATGGCAGCTGTGAAAACCAGTTCTATATGTGGTAAGCCATTTCATCTTCATCTTCCACTTCTCATTCATAACCTCAATTCCAGAACTCTTGGAGCATAATTTGTGCTTGTACAATGAAGGGACTGACCAGACCTAGTGGATCAAAGACTGTCACGACCTACTTTAAAACATTACTCTCGGTAAATGGATAGTCAGATGGGATCACTGTTGCAGGTATTATGAATGCATCTTCATTTCTCTTCCACTGCAGTCCAAGTGTTGTGGTGACTGTATCACTATTGTCCCTGATAGTCACTTCCGTGGTGCGGTCTTCTTCTGGTATGACTGCCATTACTTTGTCTGAAAGGTAATGGAAACCCACCTCCTTGTATGTATGCCTGCTTTTCCCACAGTGCACCTAGCTGATGATACAGTTCAATCAATTTCTCTTCTCCTATAACACTGTCCAGCGAGTCATCCATATAGGTAGACTGAAGTACAGTTTTGGCAGCTAATGGGTATTTGCTTTTGGTAACGCCTAGCATTTTTTCTGTGCAACAAACTGGACTTCCATGGCTGACTTCTTTCCAAAAATGACTGCAGAACTCAACACCCAGGCTGCAGTCTGTTTCCCCATCTCACCATAAGATTCAGAACAACGGTTGGTCTTTTGGACTCAAACTCTATCTGGAGACACATCTCTTGGATGTCACAAACTAGGGCAGCTGGGTTGCGGTGGAAACAGAGAAAAACATCAAACAACTCCTGCTGCAGTTTTGGTCCAGCATGACTATTCAGTCAACAAGGCCTCTGTTCTTTCCAAGACACTGCAACACTGTACCTCCCATCATTGTAATGAGCAGATCTGCTTGCTGTGTCCAACACCAATGATTCTTTCCTCTTCAGTACACACAATTCTATCGCTTACTAATGTCCCATCACTCTTGATCTCCACAAAACACTTGAGTGTTTGATCCAGCTCACAACAACTTCAGTTACACCAGTCAGCCCTGTATCCTTGATTAACAATGTTTGGGTGGTTTTCGTTCTTGTTCCAGATTGTGTTCTACCATCAGGTCAGGTCCAATACAAATCCATCCCTGCAGTCCCAAATGAGCAACGGGTTCAGCATAATCAACCCCAATCAATAAGTCCACCAATCCATCACACTACACAAGGTGAGGCCACCTAACTTTACTTGCCCTAAACTTTTTTAACTTGATAGCTTCCAGTCACTGCAGGGACACATCTTCACTTCACTCTCCTTTGTCAACTGCCCATTTCCACTTTCAATTATGATTCTCAATGGCAAAGTTTGAAAGGTCCCCACAGAGTTGTTCAACACATGGACCAGTTAATTGATAAATGTCATTCTGCGAAGTTGTGTTGAAAGTTCCTTGAAAGAGATGGTAGCATTACTCTGAATGATCTCTTAATAACTGCTAGAGCTCAGGAAGCAGATGATTTACAAATGGTAGTAATGGGAGGGAACACTAATTCAGAACAGGTCAATAATTTAACTGATACTGCATTGAATGGGAAAGGTGACAGGAAGGGTTGTTTTAACTGTGGCCAGGATGATCGTTTTGCAAGGGATAGATGTCCTGCAAGGGGGTCATAAATGTGAACAGTGTGAAGAAATTGGTCACTTTAAAGTGGTGTTGGAGAGGGACATCTCAAAATTTTCAGCAGTGGGAAAGACCAGGTCTCTATGGTTGGGGTAGGAAAGTTGAGCAAAAGATAAGTGATAGCGACAAGAAGACAAACACAAATAATGTAGATGGTGATGGCAATGAAAGCAAAAGTGTAGAGCAGGATGAAAGACCGAGCATTGGTCCTGAGTATGTGTTTTCTGTAGGAGATGAGACATGACAAAATAGTGGAAATGTGCCAAATGTTCTAATTGACTCAGGTGCAACAACCACCCTGCTAGGCAAACCAATGTGGGAGTGGCTTAAGACTCAGAAAATTCAGTGCAAAACCCGAAAAGATGCCAGGGTCTTATTTGCCTATGGGAACACCAAACCACTACCAACCTTAGGAACATTTACAGCCCATATTGTGTACCAACACTAACATTACTGTTGAAGCTGACTTTGTGGTTATAGATGGAGATGGCAGGACCCTTCTATGTTGAGACAGTGGAAAAACTGAACCTACTACACATTGGTCCCATACATTCTGTGAACAATGTTGGGGTAGAGACCACAGACCAAGACATACAGGACAAATACAAAGAAGTGTTTAACGGGGTGGGTCTCTTGAAGGGCTACGAGTTGAAACTTAACATCGATACTTTTGTAAAACCGGTTGCACAACCCGTCCAAAGAATCCCATTTGGTGTGAGAGAGAAAGTGGAGAAAAAGTTAGATGAGTTGCTGGCTTGTGAAATCATAGAAGAAGTACCAGAGGGACCAACCAGTTGGGTCTCTCCACTTGTTGTTGCACCCAAACCTGATGGTGATGTTACAATCTGCATTGACATGAGGTGTGCCAACCAAGAAATTATTAGAGAACATCAGCCCATTCCCACGGTTAAAGAAGTTCTCTGAGACTGAATGGCAGCACAGCATTTAGCCATGTGGACCTGAAGTGAGGATTTCGTCAGATACGTCTTGCAGAGGAGAGTAATCATGTGACAACAATTGTGACTCACTGCAGTCTTTTCCATGTTTGGGGTGACCTCAGCACCCGAAAAAACTACGTGTATCAACAAGTCACCCGGGATGTACTGCGTGGTTGTGAGGGGGTCATCAATATTGTGGATGACCTAGTTATTCATGGAAAGGGTATTGAGCAGCATGATGAGAGGCTTTTTGTTGTGCTCAATATTATTGGTTAAAGGAGGTGGGTTTGACATTGAATGGGGACAAATTAATGTGAGTTCGAGTTACCAAGGTTGACATTAATTTTTTTGGCCATCAAGTGACACAGAATGGGGTAGAAACTGGTGAGGAGAGGGTCACAGAAATCCGGAACGCATATCCACCAAGAATGCCCGTGACACACGATCATTCCTGGGTCTGGCTTAATTTGCGTCTTAGTTTATACAGACCTGTCAACTGTTGCAGAGCCCATCCAGAGATTAACTCACAAGAATGTGGAGTTCAAGTAGCAGTCTGAAAAACAGGCTTCATTTGAGTTAAAGGAACTGATCACAAGTACAAGTGCATTAGCTCACTTCAATGTAAACAGTAAGACAACGATTGTGGCGGATGCATCACCAGTTGGTTTAGGGGTAGTGTTGATTCAATTGCAGGGGGTTGAGAGAAGGGTTATTGCTTATGCTTCAAGAGGTCTGACAGATGTAGAAAGGAGGTACAGCCCTGGCACTGGTGTTGGCTTGCGAACACTTTAACATGCACATTTTTGGAAGGAATTTTGAATTGGAATAGATAATTGTATTCACTGAAATCAAAGCCTTCCGCTCGTGTGGAACAGTGGTTTTTCCACTTGCAAGCCTATGACTTAAGGTCATCTACAGATCAGGAAGAACCAATATTGCAGATGCATTGTCAAGGCTAAATTGTAGAGTACCCAGTGGTGATGAAGAACACCATGACCATGTTCGTGGCATAGTTGACAATAGCACTCCTTCTGCTCTGACACCCTCCGAGATCGAGAAAGCTTCAGCAGGAGGCCCAGAAATAAGGCTTGTGAAAGAATGTTTGCGTACGGGAGACTGGAGTGCTTCTAATGTACCTGCCTATTTCCATGTGAAGAATGAACTGTGTCCTTATGGTCAGTTACTGCTGCGTGGTTTGAGAATAATGTAATCCCCAAGAGTTATGGGAGAATACCCTGAAATTGGCTCATGAAGGACATCAAGGAATGTGGAAAGTGTAGATAGTGTAGTAAGGTGTGGTGGCCGAAGGTAGATGCAGATGCAGAAAAATTATGCAATAGTAGTCATGGCTGTCAAGCTGTTAGCGAATATTCCGCTCCAGAACCTATGACACAAGCTAACCCACTAAGTGGACCATGGCAAAATTGTGCTGCAGACATATTGGGTCCTTTACCGTCAGGAGAGAATTTACTTGTTATAGTGGACTATTATAGCAGATATTTTGAAGTAGTTATCCTCAGGTCAACTACAAGCACAAAAGTCATCGACAACCTTGAGCCACTATTTACTAGGTTTGGAGTTCCCCACACACTTAAAACGGACAATGGTCCTTAGTTCATTTTAGAGGAGTTCAGAGTCTTCCTTGCGGAAAATGGGATAGAACACCGAACATCTCCCCCTCTGTGGCCCCAAGCAGATGGGGGGGGGGGGGGGGAAAAAGGCACCCGGGGAGCCAAAATGGAAGGGAAGGAAAACAAAAAAAAAAAGGGGGAAGACAATTTTTCTTTAAAGTTTGGGAAAAAAAAGGGGGAAAAGTTCCCGAGTTTAAAGGGGGAGGCCCCCCCCCCCACCAAAAAAAACGCGGCCCCGGGCACGGCAAAAAAAAAGACACAAAAATGGACCACTATTTTCTGTGTTTTGGGTTCCCCCCACACTTAAAACGGGAAAGGGTCCTTTGGTTATTTTAGAGGAGTTCAGAGTCTTCCCTGCGGAAAATGGGGTAGAACACCGAAAATCCCCCCCCCTGGGGCCCCAAGGAGAGGGGGGGGGGGGGGGGTAGAAAGTGATCCAGGTAGCTCAAATTGAAGGAAAGGATACTCAAATGACAACTGGTGTAGCACTATTCTGCTTAATGTTTGGGTAAGAAATGTGGTCAAAGTTGCCAGAGTTAAGACGTGAGGCACCCATCACCAATCAAGAAATCCGTGCCCGGGACTAGGCAAGAAAAATGACACAGAAAGATAACGTGGACACAAAGAGACATGCAGTTGAGGGTCAAGTGGAGGCTAGGGACTAAGTATTATTGAGAAACACCAAAACAAACAAACTGTCTCAAAATTACGACCGCAGTCCTTGTGAAGTCATAGACAGAAATAGAGAGGAAGTCAAATTAAGGAAGAAAAATGGTGTGGAAATAAAACGAAATGTGTCACTTTTGAAGTACCAAGAGAATGGTACTTCAGAATCAGAATCAGAATCAGTGGCACCACTTCAACCAACTGCTAGCCCAATTTCAATGCAGCAGACAGTTAACCCAAGTTCAGCTATGCTTTAAACAAGCCCAAGACCAACTCCAACTACATGTATTAGACTTCCTAAACAATTTGATGATTACGAACTGTCAAAGGCATGACTGGACTTTGTTACTGGCGGAGCATCTTACAGCTGTACCCTGTTTAACATGTTAAGGAACTGAACTTGATTTCTCTCTCCAGTATTGAACATTTCGTTCTTGTTTCATTTTGGACATTCCATTATGCTCTAAAAAAATAGGAGGGATGTAGTGTATTAAACCTGATGTTTAGGTTGTTTAAGTCAACCGGAAGTATACGTATTACACTGTAGACATCCCACAATGCCATGTGTGCTGGGTTGTTAGTGTTGTGATGCCTAAAGAATGTATGTTCGGTTTTTGTTGAAAACCTGTAGCATCATAGCGATCAAGCATTAAAATACAGAATTTACAATGTAACACTGACTTGTAGCCAAGAAAAACTTTTCAACTTGTTAGATACTAGCAGTAATGCCTAATGTAATGGTTTTTTGCCACAGTAAAGTGAGAGAGATGGTGATAATACAGTTGAACCTGCATTAATGGCCACCTCTCTACAATGGCTACTTTCTGTCCCAAGGTGGCCACTGTGGAGAGGTTCAACTGTACACAGTAATGCATTTGCAATTAATAATTTTATTACTTCCAAAACAAGGCTTGCTCCAAACCATCCACAGTTTCACTAGTTGAACTTAACACCCCCTCTCTGCTCCAAACTCGTAGCATCCTTGAACCTGTGAACAAAGCAACAAAAATAATGTGAAGTACAAATCTTACAAATATGCTCAACATACACATGTACATGTGACTGGACATTTACCATAATAACAAATACAAAAAAAAACACGCAATGCAATTAAGAAGCTGGAGAATTCAGTTTCGCATTATAACCTGTTCTAGGGTTGATTGCACTGACAACAAAAAACTGTCCATCACCACGCCAGCATATTCTTGGCATCTTGTCATCCCATTCTGTCGCAGGTCTTGCAGTCTGTTAATTGCATAAGAAACAGCTACGTTTCAGTAGGTGAGCCTTAATTTTCACTGTACATAAAAGTTGCTGGGATTTCAGACAGTCCATTGTGAACATGAACTTACAACTTGTTGCAAACTGGCAGCTGTGGGTTTTCCTTCTGATCCATGAAACTGAGTTTCTTTCTTTCCCCATCCAACTGTTATTGGCTTTTCTAGAGGTAAAACAATAATTAGGGATAAACCAATACAGTGTTATAAAGTGCAACAACCACTAATTTCTTTGCTGTTGTTTTATTACTAGTGGGAAGGGTGGCTTAGTAGCTAGTGCTTTGGAAGTCCTCCATATCAAGGGATCTCACACAGAGAAAGCTGCTGGCTAATTTCACTTAACTGACAAACTTAATGAACTCATTTTCTCTGGTAAACAGGGAAATTTTGAGGTGCAGTTGAGAAAAATGCCAGCTTGACAGATAAAAAAGGCTGCTTAATTTTTCCTTGGGTACATCACTGCATATCGAGAGGTTCAGCTTCAGGCCCTACCAGGATCAGGAGGGCTTATAGATGGGAGGGGGCGCGGGGAGATGTAGGCAGGCTTATAACCAGACTAAAAAAGCATTTCTTAACAAGTTACCTAGCAGTGCTGATCAAAATACTTTGTATTTATTTGCATTTTTAATAAAGCTTTAAAACATTGTAAAAAATCGAATTCATTTCAGTTTATGATAGAGGGGTACTTATAACTGGATAAATTTTTTTGTTTTACAGGTAGATGGGCATATAATGTAGGGGGAGGGGGGTATGAGCAGACATTTACAGTATTCCTAGTCCCTTCATGCTACAGAAATCAAGTTACACTCCTGTCCAAACCACTTAGCTTGCATGCAAACTTTACCTACATGTAGTTTCCTTCTTACTTTATTACTGTTTACATCAAAATAAGAGATTGTATAGAAAGTTAACATGTATTCCAAAGATGGCATACCTTCTCCAAACTCCTCTGAATGGAAAGGGAACTCTGATATTGGATCAAAATCTTTAGTCATCATAATAAGAGTTTCTTCTCCTAGAAAGTTAAAACTTTTAATTAATATCTGAAATCAAAATGGAACTTCTCCTTTTTCAGTCCATGTATAGTTTACACAAAAAATTTTGGAAAGGGTGGATGAGAAGCTAGGAGAAATAAATAACTAAATATATAAACAACCACCATGAAACAGCCAGCCCACCTCCCTTAACTGTCCTAATCTTACATTCCTGACATAATATACAGATTTAGCCAGAGCTAAAAGTGAAGCTCCCGTTTATGCATTTTAAATTAATTACAGACAATGGACTCTTTACCACTGCAAAGAAATCTATAAATCTATACTTCTTAACTTTAGGGGAGAACCTTACAACATACTGTACGACTGAAAAACAAACTTGAGCCTGCAATTGATTAAAAGCTAACAACTGGTCAGCGAAAAACTTTAAAAAACACTTGATGTTGATGAGTTGGCACCTGAGCCAGCGATACGGTCATGTGACACTGGTCAGCAGATACCCTGTTTTGACAGCTGTCAATTAACCATAATATAAGTTAAACACAGGTTACAGGCTCCCACACTAAGCTAGTATAAAGTTTGACGTTCCACATTGGTTTCGAGGTGGTGTGGACGGACAGACAGGTGGACATCAGTCACATGATTCACCAAATTTATCGCATGGATAGATTACTAAATTTTCTTACATGTAGGTAAAGGGCTCCACTCGTGTCACTTCGAGCACACGTGGATTGAGCTCCGACATCAGAAGATAAAAGTATATGGTTAACAGGGCTAAAAAAAAACTTGAATTCCAGTTTGTCTTTTGGGCAAGCTAAGCTCTCCATTTTAATTGCCTAGGGCCACTTCTTGCTTGTATTAGTCAATGATTTTGTTAGAGGAAGACTTGCTGGACCCTTGCCCATTGGGCGAGTAAGCTTTAAAAGTTACTTGCACAGCACGTAACTCTACTTGTCATAGACTACAATGTGCCAGCTTGGACTTTTTCAAGCCCTGGTTAGCCTGAGCCGCAGACGTACTTTAACCTCAGCAACATCTGCGAAGCAGTACCGATATCCTTATTCTGGGCCCCCAACAGACTCAACGAATTACCAGAAGTACATATCGAATTTCCTTTTATCTTGATTGGCAAATCGACAATGGCTTCTACAACAGGCCAATCATGATGCATACTGAAATCCTGGTACACAGCTTGGGGCCCAGAACAAGGATTTTGGCCCAGTTTGGCAGACGGATTTAACCAGAGTTAAGCTTTGTCAGTGGTGCACGTAGGTTACCCTGGTTAGCCCGTTAAAATGTAGGACTAAAAGTAGGAAGACAAACCTGTCATGAAAACAACAAGTTCTTGGTCTGGACTCCAGGCCATGCACCTCAGTCCACTGTCAACACTGCCAACACACTCAAGCTGAAGAACAACAACATTAGACAAGTCACACTCAAACTACAACATCAGGTGCAATTACTTGTTATTCATTCAAAAATAGTGGCTCTCTGTTTCTGATCGGTTCAAATAAAACTGCACAGTTAGATCTGTAACTCTTCAGAAAGAGAGTTAGTTAGAAGTTTACATGTAGGATCTGAGCTAAGGACAAAAGGATGATATGCTTTAAAAACTTCTTTATCGCCCAAAAAATTTGTCTGGAATTGCCTGAGAGGTCTCCTAAAAACATAAATGAGAAGATAATATTTTTGGAGGTTCAGTGAGTTGCTTATAACAAAATATTATTCTATGGCAATTAATTTTGCTAAGAACTTGCCTGTTCAGTGACTGTATTCCAGAGAATAACATCACCTTTGCCTGTAGCTACACATATAGACTCCAAATCTGGTAAATGTTGTATTCCTGTTACTCTTCCAGTGCCATCATCAGGTAAGTATCCATCAGTCACAAGTGAAACAGAGCTCACTATCTGCATAAAGAACAAAGTGCTTTCAGGATTGCTATATACATGTATCACAATACATGGGTGTACCCCCCCTTCTGCCTCTGGCTGAACTGGTTTCTGTTTTACCAAGACATATACATACATACATGCTAGCTCTCCTGGATATGACACCAATCTCTTGCTCTCCCATATGGGTCACAAAATCTCCGGCATAAAATCAAGTTATGAGCTTTTCTGTGCTTTAATGTGGAATTTACCCCATTTTCTTCTAAAATTTGAATTTTCTTTGATTCATAGTTCCGTTTCTGGGGCATTTTGTATGTATTTCGTCACTGACAAAGATTATCATAACAGCGAATTGTGATGGTCTGTACTTAATGTGAGACTTCATATATTTATCACATGGGAGTGGCTTAGGGCATTATAGGACTGGATTGAATCGTGCTTATCAGGAGGGTCGGAGTCAGGGGAGGGGAATGGTTGGTCACTGATATTCAGGGGGGAGGGGGGTAATGTAAAAGAGAAAGTCTCCAGATTTGAGATTTCCAGAGGTTGGCATCTCTGCAAATACAAACTGTATGTCTTAAATTCCCCATCACCTCCCCTGCTGAGTTTACTTAGTACCTCCCTTCCATTTCCAAACTAAAAGTGTGTGTAGAGAAACAATCACAGAAATCATTATAAGCTTATACCTGTTGGTTGGAAGGTTGGAAACCAGTTATTCCTGAATTGGTGGCTGTATAGATAACTCCACACTCTGAGTCAACTGTCAAACAGAAGGACGACTCTAACCCATCCAACTCCAGTACAGGAAAGCTCCTCAAAAGCTCTAGATTCCTCATAACGTAATCAGTCCATAGACTGAGCTTCAGTTCAACAAGTGAAAACTGTAGAACCTCCGACAGCAAGGTGTTCAACGCACGTGTTTGAAAAATAGACTGTACTATTTTTCTGTAAAATATGCAAACCCAAAGGGAACCTGCCTTTCGTACTACATTGGCTAGATACTCATAGATGTATTGTTACGAAATAAAGGAATAGCACCCAAGAAGAGTCATAAAAATAGGACGAAAACCTCGGACAAATTTCCAGCCAGCGAAAATCGAAAATTGGTTCGACCTCATCATATATGAAGTACCTACCTTATTCAAGCCTGATACCGCTGACTATCTCATGAGAAAGACTTGGACGAGGACTGAGGCATTCGCTTTCTCGTTTTTTTTTTTAATAATTATTTTCAGCTGCATTTTGTAGTATCTTTAAGACTTTCTGGAAAATAAAAATATTTTACAATCAATGTTACTAACCATGTTAACGGACTTAGAGTGAAAAAGCCGAATTCAGACTTAACAGCTCGGCGGCCCAATGCTGAGCCCGCGAGATATACAAGTACACTTTCAACATGGCGGCCGAGGTTGATGTTGCAGGCACTAAACCTCGTAGTTATTCGTCATTTTGCTTTCGTGTCCGCTGTTTTTGATGTCTTCTTCTATACACGAAGAAATTTTAGAAGCTCAGTCTCAAGGTTATACTTTGCTTTACTTGAATTATCGCAAGCTTAGTGAATTACCTGAGGAACTTCTCTCCTTGTCAAAGATAAAGAAACTATATCTAAAGCGAAATGTGCTACGAAAACTGGTAAGCGGTGCCGTTTTAGCACAGATGCGTTCAATCTGTATTTCAAGGTTCTTAAAAGCTTTGTTTTTCTACTTTTATCAGCCAGCAGATATTTGGAGACTTGGAAATCTAGTAGAACTGTAAGTGGCTACAGTGAATTAAATGGTTCTTCTTGTTTCTTTGCAGCTACATGACTACAGATTAAGTGAAACAAAAGATTAAGAACCAAAGAACCATATAACAGATATAACATATATATAACAGTTATACAGGTTTTATCAAATTGATCCCTGGAGTACCGAGGGGTAGAAACATGCCATTGTCTATTCGCAGTATGTCCTATGTAGAAGCAGATTTTGATGCCCTAGATTTTTGTTGTCAGCACTTTTGGAAATTGCACCTTAGCAGTTCATGATTGGTCCATGATAAAATTTTGATGTTGTGGGAGTTTGGGATGGGGGAGACTTTGGAAATGTTTTATAATGTCCCACAGCAAGCTGAAAGAAAACGTTTTATTTAAATTATTGCCCTTGGGACGAAATCCCGAGGAGACACTCTAGTAACTTGCGTGTATATTAAGGAAAGTACTTACAGTTGAAATATACAATCATACAGTCAATATAGAAAAAATCTCGATTTGCTTGAACAGGGACCGCGAGGAATCGGTAGGTAATGATGACATTTCTATTGTTTGCGGCCCCAAATACGAAATGGTTAGGATGACGTAAGGACAGAACATCCCCAAGGGACCGCTTAGGTAGATTTTGTGACATTTATTGTGCAGTCATACTTCGACACTCTTTTGCGTTACTTGTTATATGTGACATTCTGTGGAGCAGTTGTTTCAGTGAAACAACTGATAACGACACTCGTTAAACACAGAAGAAGTTATAAGGTGCGTATAACTGTGTATATATAAACACTTGGAGAGTTTGCCAGACACGAGTTCACAAATCTTTCATTGGAAACCTTGGGAATAAGACTCAGCCCCAAACAAGCAAGACGAGTGAACAACGGCTAGCTTTTCACTAGCAGAACGATGAACGATTACAGAAATTCGCCGACAATCAAATTCTGAGCTGACTCATTCCCTGCTGACAGATGTCCTTCCGCTATAAAGTTTAAAATAAGACTAGAATGTGCGAGTGTGAATTAATTAAACATCCTTTTAATTTCTAAGGCTTCCTTTCCTGCAAATAAAAGGAACTGAATGTAACAAGTGAAAGAGAAATAGCGAAAAATTCAACTTCTAATTAAATCTTTTCTTATGGTTTAGAATAAACTATTCTCGAAACTGAGAATGTTTTGATCAAAGCTGTGTAAATTGACCTGAAACTGTGCATGGAACCTTGCGTTTCCTGTATTTATCTCACCTATTGTATGGAATATGTGTGAAAATCTTCATTATGAATCGGCATATTTCAAAGAGCTACACAACGAGCAAGAATGCTAGCTATTGACCGACAATATACAGAGCGGGGGCAGCTGTAGTGTCAACTGTTGCTATCAGGAGAGTAACCAAAATTCACAAATCTTCCAAATTAAGCAATTATAAGCGCCACTTGTATTGTTTTAGAGGTCCTCCCAAATGTGTTCCTTGTTTCTCAGCACACTAATAAATTTTAAAAGGGCTAAATTAAGCTATTTGCTATCAGATCTTTTTTAAAAGCTGAGACTTTTTTCGTATTGACAAATTCCAAAACTAATGGTCCATTTTTGTTATATTACACTATTATTTAGGCATTGAAAATGTTTCTTGTCGCCTGCTGCTACAAATGGCGAGGATTGACATTGATTGAAATTTGCCCAACTTTTTCAAGTGTTAAATGCTATTCAAGCAAAAATCACCCCAAATGTTAGAGTTAGTGTTCCCTGATGAGAATGTAATTGTTTTACATCTTTTCAACACTCTACAGGAGCAATTTTTTAACCCTTTAAGTCCCAATATTGACCAACATCAATTTTCTCCTAATAATATCCATACATTGTCAAGGTTATGAGAATTAATAAGGTGGTCACCTAAGAGAAGATACTTTGATCTTTTATCAAATTCTCTCAACTCATTCTTTAAAGAAATATATAGAGATCAGTTTGGAGTATTTGTATTTGGATATTGGGACTTAAGAGGATGATGAAAGACAAACATGCTGAGCTAAATGTTGTGAACTGAATGGCCAGAAAATGCAACGTACTTCTTCCTGAGGTCTCGTGATTTTCCGTTTCCCTTATATAAACAGGAAGTTGCAAACATCGGGCAGCAAGGAGAATGCAAAGTGAACCCTTCCTCGGGGAAGCGAAATAAAGATAAAGTAGTTTTTTCTTTTTCTTTAAGTCTAAAATAGCTCGTCCACCGCATTTTTTAAACTTTACGAGAAACTACTTTCATCGCTCTGATATTCAATGTTCCCCAACAACGATGCCCCCCCCCCCCCCCCCCCCCCCCCCCACCCCCCCCCAGCTGCGCACAAAACACAAACACGATAAGAAAATAGCCTAAGCTCGGCGCAAGAGTGCTCCCAGATCACATATAATGAACAAGAAAAATATAAGGAGACCACATTCAACCAAAGCCGATATCGAAAGTTTCAAAGCCCAAAAAATCATTCGATTATCCCCTTCACTTGAATTCCTGAGTCCGGCAACCCCCCCCCCCCCCCCCCCCCCCCCCCCCCACCCCCCCCCAGCACAACACCCCTTATTCGTTTTTCACCAAACAGGACCACGGAGGTGTCTGTCAATTTTTTTTTACTACAAAAAACAAAAATATGTTTTTTTTTTTTTTTTTCTTAAAAAAATCGCCTCCCCCCACATTTTTTTAAATTATAACAAAAACTCTTTCCTCCCCTCTGATTACAAATTTCCCCAACAAACGGTCCCCCCCCCCCCCCCCCCGGGCAACAATGTTGACGAAGGCGTGAAAACAATTCAAGCATTTGTAAAGGACTCTTTTGCGGTCGTTCAATAAGTTCTATAATCTCATACAAAATGCAGAATGAATGGCATGTTTCAACACATTCAATATGGTGTCAGGCAGGGAATATTCAATAATGATTACAGTGTAAGGGAGAGAGGAGAAGACAGTTTTTAATACGGTCTTACGGTCTGTGATTGTTTAGTAAATACTGTGTCCCGACTTTTTTAAACTTTCACCATACATTTGTTCGTGTTATCATCGCTTGTGGAGCCTTTTGCAGTTATTTTCGAAGGCTGTCGTACACTAAGGCCAAGTCGTTATAACTTGCTACTATATCGACATGATCTTCACCAAAAATCTTTTTGCGAATCACAAGTGCTTTTTCGTGAAGTTCTTTAGCTTGATTGTATTCTCCCAGCCTGTTGTACAATGATGCCAAGTTATTATAACTTGTTGCTACATCGGCATGATCTTCACCGAAAATCTTTTTGCGAATCACAAGTGCTTTTTCGTGAAGTTCTTTGGCTTTATTGTATTCCCCAGTCTGTCGTACACTGATGCCAAGTTGTTATAACTTGTTGCTACATTGGCATGATCCTCACCAAAAACCTTTTTGCCAATCACAAGTGCTTTTTCGTGAAGCTCTTTGGCTCGATTGTATTCTTCCAGCCTGTTGTACAACAATGCCAAGTTGTTCTAACTTGTTGCTACGTCGGCATGATCTTCACCGAAAATCGTGTTGTAAATCTTCACTGCTTTTCCATGAAGTTCTTTGGCTTGATTGTATTCTACCAGGCTGTCGTACACTAAGTCCAAGGCGTTATAACTTGTTACTACATCGGTTGGTCTTCACCAAAAATCTTTTTGTGAATGACAAGTGCTTTTTCCTGAAGTTCTTTTGTTCGATTGTATTCTGCCAACCTTCTGTATACTGATGCCAAGTCGTTATAACTTCTTGCTACTTAGGCGTGATCTTCACCAAAAATCTTTTTGCGAATCACAAGTGCTTTTTCGTGAAGTTCTTTAGCATGATTGTATTCTCCCAGCCTGTTGTACACTGACGCCAAGTTGTTATAGCTTGTTGCTACATCGACATGATCTTCACCAAAAACTTTTTTGCCTATCACAAGTGCTTTTTCGTGAAGTTCTTTGGCTCGATTGTATTCTCCCAGCCTGTTGTACAACAATGCCAAGTTGTTATAACTTGTTGCTACATTGGCATGATCTTCACCAAAAATCGTTTTGTAAATCTTCACTGCTTTTTCATGAAGTTCTTTGGCTCGATTGTATTCTCCCAGGCTGTCGTACACTAAGGCCAAGTCGTTATAACTTGTTGCTACATCGGCATGATCTTCACCAAAAATCTTCTTGCGAATCACTAGTGCTTTCTCCTGAAGTTCTTTTGCTCGATTGTATTCTCCGAACCTTCTGTACACTGATGCCAAGTCGTTATAACTTGTTGCTACAAAGGCATGATCTTCACCAAAAATCTTTTTGCTAATCACAAGTGCTTTTTCGTGAAGTTCTTTAGCTTGATTGTATTCTCCCAGCTTGTTGTACACCAATGCCAAGTTGTTATAACTTGTTGCTACATTGGCATGATCTGCACCAACAATCTTTTTGTAAATCACAAGTGCTTTTTTGTGAAGTTCTTTGGCTCGATTGTATTCTCCCAACCTGCTGTACACTGATGCCAAGCTGTTATAAATTGTGCTACACAGGCATGATCCTCACCAAAAGTATTTCTGTGAATCACAAGTGCTTTTTCGTGAAGTTCTTTGGCTCGGTTGTATTCTCCCAGCCTGTTGTACAACAATGCCAAGTTGTTATAACTTGTTGCTACATTGGCATGAACTTCACCAAAAACCGTTTTGTAAATCTTCACTTCTTTTTCATGAAGTTCTTTGGCTCGATTGTATTCTCCTAGGATGTCGTATACTAAGGCCAAGTCGTTATAACTTGTTGCTACATCGGCATGATCTTCACCAAAAATCTTTTTGCGAATCACAAGTGCTTTTTCCTGAAGTTCTTTTGCTCGATTGTATTCTCCCAACCTTCTGTACACTGATGCCAAGTTGTTATAACTTGTTGCTACATCGGCATGATGTTTACCAAAAATCTTTTTGCGAATCACAAGTGCTTTTTCGTGAAGTTCTTTTGCTCGATTGTATTCTCCCAACCTTCCGTACACTGATGCCAAGTCGTTATAACTTCTTGCTACATCGGCATGATCTTCACCAAAAATCTTTTTGCGAATCACAAGTGCTTTTTCGTCAATTTCTTTAGCTCTATTGTATTCTCCCAGCCTGTTGTACACTGATGCCAAGTTGTTATAACTTGTTGCTACATCGGCGTGATCTTCACCGAAAATCTTTTTGCGAATCGCAAGTGCTTTTTCGTGAAGATCTTTGGCTTGATTGTATTCTCCCAGTCTGTCGTACACTGATGCCAAGTTGTTATAACTTGTTGCTACATCGGCATGATCTTCACCAAAAACCTTTTTGTAAATCACAAGTGCTTTTTCGTGAAGTTCTTTGGCTCGATTGTATTCTCCCAACCTGTTGTATACTGATGCCACGCTGTTATAACTTGTTGATACATCGGCATGATCTTCACCAAAAATCTTTTTGCGAATCACAAGTGCTTTCTCGTGAAGTTCTTTAGCTCGATTGTATTCTCCCAGCCTGTTGTACAGCAATGCCAAGTTGTTATAACTTGTTGCTACATTGGCATGATCTTCACCAAATATCTTTTTGTAAATCACAAGTGCTTTTTCGTGAAATTCTTTGGCTCGGTTGTATTCTCCCAGCCTGTTGTACACTGGTGCCAAGTTTTTATAACTTGTTGCTACACAGGCATGATGTTCACCAAAAATCTTTTTGCGAATCACAAGTGCTTTTTCGTGAAGTTGTTTGGCTCGATTGTATTCTCCCAGCCTGTTGTACAACAATGCCGAGTTGTTATAACTTGTTGCTACGTTGGCATGATCTTCACCGAAAATCGTTTTGTAAATCATCACTGCTTTTTCATGAAGTTCTTTGGCTTGATTGTATTCTCCCAGCCTGTTGTACAACAATGCCAAATTGTTATAACTTGTTGCTACATCGGCATGATCTTCACCGAAAATCCTTTTGTAAATTATCACTGCTTTTCCATGAAGTTCTTTGGCTTGATTGTATTCTCCCAGGCTGTCGTACACTAAGGCCAAGTCGTTATAACTTTTTGCTACATCGGCATGATCTTCACCAAAAATCTTTTTGCGAATCACAATTGCTTTTTCCTGAAGTTCTTTGGCTTGATTGTGTTCTCCTAGCCTCCAGTATACTAAACCACTCGTGTTGAAAATTCTCGCTTTTCGAGCTAATGCACGTGAATTAGTTTCGTCTATGCCCTCCAATAGATTGCGTGCTAAACCGACCACTTTTCTCGCGAAAAAGTAATAAGAATTGTTAAGACAGACACTGGCAATTGTACACAGCCAATCGATAACAATATCCAAATCTACAAAGGGCGTAAGCCTTTTTTTGAAAGTGTATTGATCGAAACTGAACTCTAACGTCATGTGATTAAGTAAAGATTCACAATGGGGCGTCAATTTTTTGCAAAACGCATACTTTTCGCTATTTCCTTCAAGCTGGGACTTGAAAATCTTTACCGCTTCTGCCATATGTTGGTCATACTCCCATGATTTTAAATTTAACATTTTGGCTTGCTTTAAAGCTTCATACACAATTTTATGCAAGCGCAAATAAGTTATTGGTTTATTTCCTTCTTCGGAATAAACAAGAAGTAAAGAAGACCTTACAATCTTTGCCTTTATTAACTCCTCTGGCTGGTCTTTTACTTGGGCTTTGACGAACTTTGAAACAGTTTCGAGGGGGAGATCTTCTTTAGCGCAAAGAGAAAGAAAAGAAAATGTCTGACGAAGAACCTCGTCAACGTCGGCAGCTCTCTTGATGGCCATTTCTACAGCGGCCATTGTTGTTTTAGAATATGCTGAACTCTCAGTCGCAAGGACACTTTCAATCTCATTTCTTTGGCCATATGTTGATATGTCGTCGAGGTACGCTTTCCAATCATAATTTAAAGACCCACTGTTTACAACAGTTTGCACGTAATAAGCAGCAGCAGCTAAGGCCAGTGGCTGAAAATCGAGAAGTTCAGCGACAATTTCTTCTTGTCCTCGCTCTGAAATTTGCGTTAGTGTTTCCAGCAATTTCACCGCCTCATCTAACTTCATTCCTTTACTTAAAGATTCATGATACGTATGAGGCGCGTTTTGAGGAATTATACCACTATCTTGAGTGGTAATCAAGACTTGACCATGGCCCCATTCCACGCTGCCTGTTTGAGGCAGCAAGCCGCGGACTAAACGCAAGTCAATTACATTGTCCACGATAATAAGCCATTTGGTAAACTTGCTGGCTTTTGGTATGATGAACCGATGGAGCTGCTGAATTGCTTCAAGAGGCTTTTCACTTTTTAAAGATTCTAACTCTTTCAAGGCGTATTCAGTCATCTGTAAGTGTTTGGCAAGGGTAAGGTAAGAGTCAGCAAGTGTAATTGTAAAGCTCCTCCATTTTGTTTGTAATTCTTTCAATATCATGCGAACGCTTGATGATATCATGTGGGGGACGCGATGTGAGAAAGCAAAATGGCTGAAATTTCGCATTTATTTCCTGAGTGAGAGCCCTGTTTTCTTCTTTCGTAGAAACCAGATCAGCTTCTGTACGCTGAAGTCTGCTTTCCTTTTCCTTCAAGTCACATTTTGTCTGTTTTAACTCAGCTTGGAGATCAAGGGCTTGCTTCTTAATTTTTTCCACTTCTGTCGTTGGAAAGCTCGTCTGATTCTTAATTTCTTGGACGTCAGTAATAGCAAGGCCAAGGAATGTAAAAGCGTTCAACACTCTATCTACAGAAGTTTGAAAATCAGCATCTGCCAGTTTGCCCTCAGTGATATGGGCGATCTCGTTTCGCACCTGACGAATATCATCGACCTCTTTCTGGACAGCTGGACTTAAGGTGGTACCAATACTGTCTGAGTACAGGATGGCAAAAAACAAACAGGTGCAGTCCCACTCGGCCGTGTTACCATTCTGTATTGTCGCGAGCAGTCGGCCATTTTTCTTGCGACTTGATTTCGATTCCTTGTCGTAGAAATCACGACCATTTTGTGCCGTGTCTTTCCATTCTCCGAGTGGCGCCTTGTAACGAAAGTCCCACTCGTTTTTGAAAATTTGCCGCAGTCCTTCTGGAACCAAATCAAATACTACACAACAGAGTCTGAAGAAGTTCAGTTGCTCCTGCGAGTATTCCATCACCAGCTCTTGATCCTGCAATCGATTCGCTCAGTTAATAAACTAATGAATTCCTTTCATAAGTTACGTTAGATAAGTATGAACACATATTTTTTTATTAACCTTTTCGGTATAAAGCTTTTTAATTTATGACTAGTCTGTTCCAGGCTCCAAGATAGTGGTACAGTCGTACAGTAAAAAATGATGCAAAATACGCGCGGGGGACACAGCCCCCTCCAGATCGCGCGAGTCCTATTTTCGCTTCGCTTGTTTTATTTTCTCGGCGGCTCTACTTTCTGAGAGCCTGGCACAGGCTACTTCATAACAAGAGATACGGCTCGTGACCAGCAACGTGCTTCTAAGATTTGTTAAGTAATGAACGCTCTTCAATGTTTCCATTTTAAAACCACGTAGACTACATTTTGAAAGGCTTCGACTAGCGCTTGGTGTGACTGTCAAGTAGAGGAAGCAGATTTTGCAGAAGAGAAGGATAAAACAATCGAAGGAGATGTACCCTTTTAATCAAATTGCGGTCTTTCTGATTCAAGTACGTAGGAGGTATTTTCGACTCCAGAGCGCTCGTCTGTACGCGGCCAGAAAAATCCCATGGCAGCATGGCTCCGTAGAGGAATAATAATGAGGAAGAGGTGCAACGGGTGCGCACGCACCTCCTTCCCACTGACTATTTTCAAATCCCCATAATGCACTCTGTTTACCCCTCAAATTTTACATAAGGTATTGTTTTCATATCCTTTTGGGAATATACAGTCCTCCCAAGAGGATTTGAAAACAATAGTCTATGCAAAATTTTTGGGGGGGGTGGGGGGCGGGCAAGCAGAGTGCAATAGACACATAATAGACATAAGAAGATAACGGATCATAACGAACAGAGAACAAAACGAGAACGAAAGTGGGTTGGTCAAAAGTTCATAAATTTTGCTCGCCACTGAGACTGTCAGTTTTTAGTCATAAAAAGGTGCGTGAAGATTTCACTGAGCACTAAGCAACGAAACCTGTGAATGGACGGGAGGTTAAGGAAAGACGTTTTTGAGCTAGGTACGTTAACCGGAAGTGGTTTTTTGCATTCTTGGGCAGTAAATGTCCTCAACTTTTGGAAAAATTGTCTCTATATGAATTTTAATTCTTAAAAGACGCCGAGCAATACAATTTGGTAGCGTCAAGGCACATTTAAAGGGAAAAGGCCGTACTTCCGGTTGACGTGCGTCGCTCAAAATTGACCGCTCCAGAAAATACCATAACATACCATAATGCCCTTTGTTTGTCACCCCAAAATTTTGCATAAACAATGTTTTCAGTTTCTCTTGGGAGTTAAAATGGCCCCAAGAAAAGCTGAAAACAATGCTTGTGCAAAATTTTGGGGTGACAAGCAGAGAGCATTATGGTATGTTATGGTATTAAACTGTCGTGGTCAATTAAAAAACGCTTTTGCTTTAGCCTGCAGACGTCTCTTATTTCCGTCGTTGCACAGGAACTTCCTGTCAGTCTCAAACTCAAGAACTTTGAGTTTCGTTGAAAACGCTCGATTTTTGTGTGAACAGAAAGACGATTTGCAGAGATACCATTGTTAGAAACTTTGCTCATATTGCTAAACCCAAGCTTCAAAACAAATTTCAATCACTTAGTTGAAAGCGAGAACGATTGAACTTTATTATCCACATATCTAAAAATCGAGAATTATCCAGCCACTTCTGGCGCGACGAGAGCAGGTTAGAAAAACTACTGAAACTGGCTCATATTTAAGTTGGAGTCACCTTAAGCTCCCTATTTGAATGTCAAGCATCTGTGAACACAAACTGAAATTTCTTTAATTCCTTTCCAAGGCATGCAATAATCGTTCGTTTTGAACTCGCACGATCAATGGTCCACGACGATCGACGTATATTTTCTAGGACGGTAGAAGTCACTTTAACGCACGTATGTTTAACCGAAAAGCGACCGTTAGCAAAAGTGATAAACCACACGGAGTCCAGTCTTCAATGATCTCGCATAAGCACAGGGAAGTATGACTTGTACTCGCATATGTTGTCAGCTTCAAATAATCACGCGAAAATTAAAATGGTTTCGAAACACGATAACCAAACAGTTACAACAGACATATATAACCTTTTTTCTTCAAATTCTAAACCATGCACAAAACAGAGACCAAGAATGAATGCTGCATAAGGCTTTCACACGTTGTGAAAACAAGAGGCTATAGAAACGCTTCGTATTGAGAACAACTGAATTTCGTCAGCACATGGCGAAGTCTACAACGAATTATTAAATCTGTGAGCATAATAACCAGAGAAAAACTACCCACCTTCCTCAACAGAATCCAAAGAAATTCTATTCACTATAACATGAGGTAAACTGCTTGAGGCTGATGGAAAGTGAAAGTGAGGTATGATACACATGACTGATAATACTGACGTCAAACGCACCCTATTTGCACAATCACACTATTTAGACAGTCACGCTATTTTAGACAGTCACGCTATTTGTAGTATGGACATACCGTAAAATTCCGAAAATAAGCCCCGGGGCTTATATTTTTCAAAGGCCCTTTTTGAGGGGCTTATTTTTGGAGGGGCTTACATTCGGAGGGGCTTATCTACGGAGGGAAATTTGCGTTTCAAAATCGATCGGGCTAGCCTTATAGTTGGAAGTAAATTTACCGTTTTTGCTTTGTTTTACTTTGTATTTGAGGGTAATTTCCAAGTACAAGCCCCCGTGGGGGCTTATATTTGGAGGGGCGATTTAAGGGATGATTTTTTGCGTTACGAGTTTAGGGGCTTATATTTGGAGGGGCTTATACACGAAGGGGCTTATTTTCGGAATTTTACGGTAATCAAGTGCAATGACTGAAGTGTAGGGGATGGGTGGGGTAGTGTAGTGTAGTATAGTGTATATACTGTGCATGGAACCTTGCGTTTCCTGTATTTATCTCACCTATTGTATGGAATATGTGTGAAAATCTTCCTTATGAATCGGTATACTTCAAAGAGCTACACAACGAGCAAGAATGCTATTGACCGACAATATACAGAGCGGGGGCAGCTGTAGTGTCAACTATTACTAGTTTTTAGTAAACACTGGCACGTTAAACGTGCATGAGCTATTTTGAATGCTTCAGTGTAACGTCCTTACCAAGAGTGATGAATCTACCTTTTTCGTCCTAAATGTAGACTGGGTTTTTGTGCGAAATTGGGTATTGCGGTACATAAATGAAAATGCGAATCGCTCAGTTGCGTCGATCATCATGCTATATATTCACTTTCCTCTGTCTTTCCCTGTTACATTTGGTGCAAGTTAAATAAATTATTAAAGTAAAATAAATGTCTACTCACCAAATGTTGATTAGAAGGAAAACTCTAAGGTTTCCTCGGAGTTTCTTAAGCCAAAATGTGACTCATCGAACTTACGAAATACCAGGATTCTTATCATTGTGGTAGATGGTTGCATCATCACAGTTCACGAGGTTTTCACGTGCTATTCTACTCAGTGAAACAGTCCTTAACTCCGACAACTTATTTCTTCATGTTTTAAAAGCTATTGCTTCTTAAAAGACAAGAGCCTTTTTAAAGGCATTGGTTACAAAACGAAACAGGTTTCCATACGTTCAAGTTACTATTATTATCGTGAAAAGCCAATCTGCATGAGATGTACAGTCACACAACTGGCACGTGAAAGTGTTGGACTTTGACCCCTTTCGTGGTTCGTACGTGAGGGAATTCGAGTTATCACACGGTAATCTAGTAAAGAGAATAATAAAAATAACTCATGCACCCAATTTGCACGTGAAGATGTTGGCCTTTGGCCCTTTTACAATTCGTACGTAAAAAAACCCCAAATTGTTTACTACAAAATTTTCTCAACGATTTTAAGAAATCACCTCGGCTTCATTACAACATCTGCAATTAAATTATGTTTCATGCAACGTCAAGGTTGATAGCCTAACATTTATTAAGGTCTATTAACTTCCAAGAAAATTATCAAACTGCCGAAATATATTTCTGCTCATAATCATGTTACTCCACTCAATAAAACAGTATCTAATTATTGTGTCAACTAGCTTCTTCCAATTTTATTCCCTAACGCTACTGGTTTCTACTTAAGTTACTCATCTTTGCTAAATAAAATACGTTTCAATAACTATAATGCTTAGTATGCAGGAAGGATGTATCATGTTGTTCACTTATTATTATTATTATTTTTTGTTTTGCCGGAACGAAAAAGGTCTGTTGAACTTTTTAAGCAAGAGAATAATATTTTTAAAGCTTGTTTACAGTCTTTTCAGGATTAACAATACTCGGTACAGCTTTCAAAAAATAAGCTGCCTTTCAAACTTGCAAGACTACATTTTATAGGCTGCATACTTTCAAATTAAAGTCCATATCTAAATATCAATTATTGCTTCACTGGAAGAGCTTTGAAAATATATGACCTTTTATATTCTACCTTGGAGCAGGTGAAACACAACTCATAAATACCGTATTTTATTCGATTAACCGCCCTGGGTGCTTATTAAATTTTTGGACCTTGAGAGTGGGCGCTTATTCGAGATGGGCACTTATTCGAGGCTGGGCGCTTATTAAATTTTCACTATTTTCAGCAAGTGAAGTATGTTTATTTTGCAACAAAACAATAAATGCTAATAACAAAACGCGGAGAAGTAACAAAGAAAGGTTTCTGTATAATACTCTGAAGAAAACTCCGTCCTCCGGGAAGTCTCTTATTAGAATTTATTCACTCGAGTGGGTGGGGTGGGGGTGAGCACTTATTTGAGTTTGATTGGGAGGAGGAGTAGGTGGGGGCTTATTCGAGGCTGGGCGCTTATTAACTTTTTCTGCCTTTAGGATGGGCACTTATTCGAGGTGGGCGCTAATTCGAGGTTGGGCGCTTATTCGAATAAATGCGGTACATGCGTCAGTACCGTTCACGATAGCCGAATTCGGTCAGAAATGTCTTGAAATAACATCCACACTAAAAGATGAACCCTTAAACAGCTGCATCAATGTACACAGCGTTTGAATCATGAAGATATTTAATATAATGTTTCCAAACACCTGTAGCCGTAATAAAAGACGAAAAAATTGTCAAGAATCAAGATGGTGATCTAAAAGTGCCCTTGTTCGACCTTTAGCAATGTCATGTTTAAGTAGATGCCAAGATCTCATTGTTTCCTAAGCATCAACTCATAGTACCTTCAACCTTATTGGCTCTTGCAACAAACATCCGAACACACGAAGATACAGAGATACAAAGCCACAAAGATACATACGCTCACACCACTGACATATGAGCTATTTTCCAAAATAGCTCAATAATATTTCTGCTACTGTCTTGGCTCTCAATAGCTGTGTTCACACTACTGACTTTTTACCTCGGTAAACTCGACTTGTTGACAGTTTGCTTAGGGAAACTTGATTTTTTAAGTGTGACCGATTTTTCCCTAAGTAGCTTACCTCGGGGAAATTTTATCGTCTGAGGCTTGGATATGTCTCTAGGACAATAGACTTTCCCTTGACAGCTACCCCAAAGCGATAGCCAAGAAAAAAGAAATACCGAGGTTGCTAGCCAATAGATGCGCATTGGCGAAGGTCTTGATGACAGAACCAGACATAGCTCACGCGGTGAAAGAAAGTTTGGGGGCACGAGTTGCCCACGTCATCGCCTGTCTTCACCTTGCACGTTGAATTAGCATAAGAAATAACAGCAAGATAAAAGAAAAAACGTCTCTTTGATCGGGTAGATCCCTGCGCATCTTGCCTTCTTGAATTTATGATCCAAAAAATTCAACTGTGCATGAAAACCTTAGGAGCCAATATCAGTAGTGTGACCTTCCCAGAATTTTTTAACCCAGGTAAAACAAAACCCGAGATGAATCTACTTCTGGAGATTTTTGATGAATTTACCCAAGGTAAATCGGTTTTACCTAGGTAAAGTCCGTAGTGTGACCACAGCTACTGTCTTGTTCTCATAACACTATAAGTCATGCTATAACAGTAGGTGATTTTACTCTTCTATATATGTGCCACATGGTGACTTTCCTTATTTTTACCTTTTCTTTGATAGGTACTTGCATTCTAATAACCTTCATGAACTTCCAGATGGTAAAATTACATTATTTATTGTGGATACTATATTTTCATGTAAATAATTGACTGAAATTAAAGGTCGTGGAGAGTTTAATATAAGTTCCAATAAAACTTTGGTGTAACGCTGAAGGCATTGCTCTTTCTCTGTTTTAGGAATTGGAAAACTTCAGACACTGGAGAGACTTAATGTTTGTAATAACTTCTTGAAAAATCTAACTCCAGCCATTGGTCAGCTGACATCACTTACATCATTGCAACTTGCCAACAATGAATTGCCATTTTTACCCCAAGGTACGTAGGCCATAAGGCGATTACTGTAAATTCTCTCTTAACAGATACATCAGTAAGATGAACACCTTCAAAAAGTGATGATAGAGAGTTGCTTCATACTATTCTTCAGTCAATCTCATTGACCTTCTTTGAGGCAGACACAAAACTTAGATGTTTATTAGGTGTGGTTTAAGGGTCTCCATCTATTCTAGGAGTTCTGGGGATGTATAATGCCCGGGTGGGTGGGGGGGACTCCGCATATGAAAGGGGTGGGGATGCTCATCGGAAACTTTGAATTAAACCCCTAAAGGAGACCGATCTGGGCATGGCCCAAACTTTTTTTGAAATCTAAAAGAGACCATGTTAAAACACAGACAAATAAGAAAACTTGGATTATATGAATGGAGTAAATAAAACGAGTTAAAATACACATATCAAATATATATTTTTATATTTTTTCGTGTGCAACCCTAAACGAGACCTTCATGGCTAAATATGATGGCATTTTTCCCAGAACACCCTAAATGAGACCAAAATCCGCAATTTACACCTCTAAGCGAGACGACGAGCATCCCCACCACTTTCATATGCGGAGTTCCCCCCAGGGTGTAATGTTAAATTTTCTCATACACAATTTAACATTCTGACCTATAAAATATTAATTCATTTATAAATTACTTCTTTCCTCAGAATTAGGGAATCTAACACAACTAAAGGATCTCAATGTCATTAATAACAAGCTTGAATGGTTACCATGGCAATTATGCAACTGTGCATCCCTTAACAGTTTATCATTTGATGGAAATGCCATTCGCAAGATTCCGCGTCAGTTAATGAGGCATCAAGGACTAACTGATCTTTATGCAAGTGGAAATAAACTCAGTTCTTTACCTCAAGGTAACACAATAAAAGGGCTCTTAAGGATTAAGGATTATTTGATCCACACACGCAAGCTGAGGTAAAGTTATACTTCTTTTTTTAACTTTGTAGCCTGGGAAAACAGCCATCCCTCCTCACTCCTCACTCTTAGGGACATTTCCCAAGCAGAGACGTCTGTGCCTCAGTGACAGAAATTCCAATGATGCAAAACTTTATACTAAATTGGGTAGTCATATGGGGTTTCCTAAAGCGAATTTGTTCGATTTTATGTTTTGCCTGGTTGATTATGGTAAAGTTTTGTGTTCTGCAAATGAGCTTGAGCAAAACTTCAAATGCATCTTGTAAAGAAGAATCTTAATTCAAGGAATATTCATTTGACAGTTTTCGAAGTAGATTCATTCTGTTTACATTATCTTGACTTTTGTGACTAGTATCTTTTGTCAGTCTTTAGTAAACAAGAGCTGAAGTAATCATATAACTAATCCAACCAATAAGAGCTCCTGAGCATATTTCAAATAGATATTACATCATTATTATGGAATTTCTGTGACCAAAACACAGATGTCCCTCCGGGCCAAACATCTCTAGCGACAAATTTAGCAAAGAGAGACGGCTGTTTTTCAGGCTACGTGCTTGCAGGGTGAAGAGTCACTTGTGTGAACCAGCCCTAAATATTAGTGCCTCTGTTTCTTTTTTTTATAGATGTGAATCAGCTTTCCTCGCTTGAGTCTTTAATACTAGACAACAACATGAATCTTCAGCTACTACCTGCCACTCTTCTCAAAATGGAGAATTTGAAAATTATTGGCTTAAGTTGGTATGCATCACTACACATGTCTTAGTCAGGTCACTCTCAGTCTTGGTGTCCATGCATCTTATAGAGAGACCAAGAAAATGACTAAAGAAGGGCAGGGGTCAACGACTTGTTGTATGTTTTAGAGAGTTGTTAGTTAAGAGAAAGTTTACTACTGTTTATTAGTAAGGTTGCGCTAACGAAACACCGTCTCGACATCTCTTGGGACTTGATTCCCCATTTTCGCTTCCTTTTCCTACTGAGTATTTCAGGTGTCATGGCAGGTCCTAAGAAGAGAAACTCACTTTTATGCCCAAGATTTATAGAAATTATATTTTCGAAAATAGTGTTTTTCTGATTCTAGTATGCAGGTCAGATACAGTGTCCTTTGCACACATTGACATGTCAACAAATGAAATGTTCATAGCATTAATACTTGTGCTTGGCAGAGTAGCGGTTAGAGTCCAAAAGAAAATAAATTTACTGAAAAGAGAAGGTCAAGGAAAGGCACTAACATTTTGTATTGAGGACATTCAATTACTGGTTATAAAGTGCCTTTCTTCCTAATATAGTAGTCAGTTGCAAAAAACAGTCCTGGATAGGATGGGAGGTCCTCTCTTTCAAACTGTTGATCAGAAGTTGATTGGGATTGAATGTTAAATAACAGACCTGTTTAAAAATCATTGAACCTACAGGTGTAAACATCCCAAGCATGCATGCTGATTACTTTTTTACTTATTCAGCATTGCTGTCAGCAGTCTGTCCAGCTCAAAAGAAGAACATTGTTCAGGTGATCACATTCCTCTTTCATTCAGTTATATGTTTTTTGTATTTGTTTCCAAATCTTCTGTGAATTTTACTCTAACTTGTATAAATGCTTCCTCATTGAAAATAGCTAGAGTGGCTGGGGTGTTGGGAATATTTGGAAAGAAGAGTTTCCTGTATCTTGTTTTGGCAAATCAGCCCAAAAAGGATCTCTTGCTCAGTTTGGTCTAAAATTAACTGGGGAGGGGGGGGGGGGGGGGGGGGGGGGGGCGGTCTCTCCCCAGGATCCACCAATGCTTGCTATGAAGCAAGTTTTCATAACCCAGTGTACATGTATCTTGTTATTTTTAGGGAATGGCCGTTTTGTAGTAAAGATAAGGAAATATTGCAAGCAATCGCATCTGAAAGGCATAGAAAGGCATAGAAAGGCCAGATTCAGATTTAAAATCCTTCTTGTTCCATTTGCTGACAAATGCCAATAAATTGAACAATACCTCTCGCATTTTTTCTTCGACAGATTTAAGACAAGTGCTAAGTTTGAGGTATATCCTGGACAGCCACTACAGCAATGTTCCACCCTTGACAGAATTGTGTTTTAGAGCAGTCCACTCATTTGGTAAGAAGTTTCACACTTGATGTTCAAAGCCATATTAATGTTTTAACCTTTTACAACAGTTTGTGCTAGCAGGTGTAAACTACCCTTTTTTTAGTACCAGAACATGGTTCCCCAGACTGGGTGTGGCTATTTAAGTCTCAAGTTGTCTTGATTTTACTCCTACTGGGTCGGAAAAGTGGCACAACGCGTAAGAAAATGAAATGTCTAATCTAAGAAACATGGAAATAATTCTGATTCTCAATTATTTAAAACTACTCTTAGGATAGTTAAACTGTGATCAGATTCTCAATCACAGTTCACCAAACCAGTTCTCACTCTAAGGTGAAGGCCTCTTTCATCCCACCTCTTAAACAGTAAACTGTGAAGCCTGTGCAATGATTTGGCGACACTTCATTTTGCAGTTTGTAAATGATAAGCTTAAATCCCAAATCAGCAAATTCCGCCATTACTTGTTTCACTTGTTACCTGATTATTGAAAGGTGAACAAACTGTCTTTTCAGTTGTCCCTGCTGTAATTTCCTTTGTAGTTCGATCCATTACCGATGAAAGTTTGTCATCTCTTCTTCTTCCATCTGATGTGACCAGTTTTCTAAGTACGCCGACCGGGCACTGCTTTATCTGCTGCAATCCGTACTTTACAGCAGCGTTCCCTCTGAAAGAAAGCGCTGCTACAGCGCTGCAAGTGGTGAAACCAAGCTCGTTGAACTTACAGAGGTTGAGAGAAATTCAATGCACATTTGTCTTCTGTTGCTGCTCAATGAGGTGTTTGAGGGAAGTCTGCAGAATGCGAGACATTCCTGAATGAGCAAGGACATTTTATAATGGTTGTGTGATCATGACCTCGTATGTGATCGCATGCGCGAGTTGAACTCGATGTTTAGTTGGTGACAAAGGTGTGTCGCATCGAAATGACACTTTTTATGAGTAAAGGAACGTTATGAAAAAAACCCTGTGTCTTCAACGAAAAAACCCCACCCCAGATCTAACCCATGCTACCCTAAGGGAGCGTTCATTATTTATCCTTTGGTGGGGAGGGAAGAAAATTTCGAGGTGTTTCCTTGCGTGGGGGGTCATTAGAGTGTCATGATAGTTAGTGGGGTAAGTTCCTATCGCGCTCCAGTCCTCAATTAGCCTGTCAACACTATTTCCAACCGGATGTTTTCCTTAACGCGTTCAGCCAATAATTAAAGATGTTCTATTTCGGAAAGGTAATAGCCAATCAGAAAACACCTACCATATTCGCAAAAGTAGGTGACGTCACCGGATAACGTTAGGAATTTTGACGTCTTTCTCTACCCGGCGCCCCCCAAGGGTTAGAGGGTGGGGAAAAACGATTGAGGAAAAAGAGATTGTTACAGTAATGGAGCTCCCTTGACTCTGACGGGAGTTTCCTGAATAAATAAAGGTGTTTATCTCTAGTTTGATTTAAATTATTTGTTCCAGGCATTTGCTCGGCCCCACTGGCATTAGTGTATAAATACTGCCGAGGGTAAATAAAGGATTTTTATTATTATGACTTATTATTCTTTCACGTGGTTTGAGTCATTGCTTCAGAGAAACATTCAGGCTGCTTGCAGTTTTCTCTCGTTAATTAGTGGTGTCATGAGAATTCGACAGCTGCCCCCAAAATTTACTCGCAGTAACTTGTTTTTTGTGAAAATCTAGTAAACACCAGGTGAAAAAATATAAATTTATAATTTTCCTTTACGTGATCTTGGTACTTGGTGTACTTCAATCACGACCTTAATTTTTTGCCCGTTATCGTGTGGTGTCCAGGAACAACGTAACCTGTTAACAATACGGTTCCCCGGCCTTTACTTATAGTTAAAATAAAACTACAAAAATTGCGTCTTGGTTATTAATATAACACTAAAGTAAACTGTTTTTAAAATTAATGTTCTCATAATGGAAGGTGTAGATTAGAGAGAATAATATTTGTAGGCGAATTCTACGAAGCTCTGCATATAAACGTTAGAAACTAACCTCGATTGGCATTTTTGCCTTTTGAGTTATTCCAGTATAACTGAGGGTTATGAAAGAGAGACCTTTCAATAACAGTGTATGTCTTAAAAAAATACTTCAAAACGTCGTAATAGTTTTGTTTTAGAGTTATCATTAATAGTAAGCAAGCACACTCAAGTTGTTTCTTTAGATAAACATTACTGACCACCTATTGTAGGTTCAATAAACAATTTTGTTATTGATGAGAAAATAATTAAGCGATTTGCTGTAACAAAAACTTTGAATTCTCAGTGATAAACATTCTCACTACAATTAATCATCCATCCTTGTTGCTTTTTCCGCCCAAAAATCTTTAAAGACTGTGAATTTTCTAAAATTAAGTTTTTTATTGTCAATATTTATGCTGTATTTTTTATGAGCCAGAGTATTTTCTTGTTGTTTGTGTTACCATAAGTACGTTCTTTTTTGCGAATTGTTTTAATAAACCACCTGCAGGCAGTTAAATTATTATATTCATTGGAGGGTCGCTATAACGATTGGTGCAATCATTGTCCCGTAAAAATGGTTTTGCTTTAAGGTGACGAACTGACATCGAGTGGACTTCAAGTTTGAAGATGATCAATAGTTTCTGATTAATCGCTTGATCAAAATGACTGAAAGTGTGTACGAAGAGTCCACAAATACAACCGACAGTGACTTCTATTTTGAACAATATTTCGCCGAAGAATACAAGAGATATTCGTTGTTCACAAACGTCGTGTATGTTTTGCAATTCGTTGTAGCCGTGATCGGAATCATCGCGGACATCACAATTTGCGGCGTTCTGCTCCGCAAGAAACGCCTACTGAAAAACTTCTCAAATTTTCACCTTTTCAACTTAGCTATGACGGATGTGGTCTTTAGAATGGCTCTTACACCGGTTTTATTCGCTATTGAAAATAAAGAAGTAAGAGATGGTAGCAATGCTTTGTGCAAACTCGGAGGATTTGGAAGTTACACTACCCTGGCTGTCACCTTTGTCCTGCTGTTGGGAATTACGTTAGATCGCTATTTTCATATTGTACATCCGATCAAAGCCAGAAACATAACATGGAAGCACAGCCGAAAAGCCGTATTTTTCTCCTGGTTATACGGAGCTGCTTGTTCGTCACCAATTCTCTTCAGTATAGAATACTCAACAGTCGACTGGAAGGAAACAGATTACGAGGTCTGTCTGTGGGGTGTTGGATTGCCTTTTCAAATTTCATCAAGTGTATTTCTGTTCTTTGCCTTTTTACTTCCTTTAGCTTTGATGACAGTTGCCTACGCCAAGATTTTAAAAGCTCTCTGGCAACGAGCGCGAAATAACGTCTGTGTCAACTCACAAATTGCAAACGCTAAATTTCGCGCGGTGAAAATGATGGTGTGTGTGGTGATTGCATATTCGATAAGTTGGGGGCCGAAGCTAGTTTGGGATTTTTTGCAAGCGTTCGAGATAGTTTCTCTAGAGTACATGATTGACTGGGAAAGTAAAGAAATACCTCTGGAAGACAAAATTAGAGAAGAGAAGAACTACATAAAGTTACTTATTATTGACGATACCATGGAAATGTTAACCTATACAAGTTCCGTGTTAAATTCTGTCATATTTGGTTATTATAACAAGTCTTTCAGGGAGGAACTGAAAAGTTGTTGTTGCAGAATAAATTGTTCACAATGTTTTAAAACAGGTGATACGAAGACCAAAAGTCGTAAGAAAACAGGACAACCCGAGCCCCAAACTCTCCTTTTTGAGACCAACACGATGAGATCTTTAGATTTTTGTAATTTAGAGGACAGAAGTGAATTTTTTCCAAAGGTTTATTTTCCCGAGGACACAACCAAAATGACAGAAGATTTGGAGGTAATTACTACAAAGTTGTAATTAACGAACGTAAAGCTGAACAAATGTTTATATTTATGAGAATAAAACTGTCATTAAATGTTCTTTACTTTTTAGCGTTTGTTTTAGGATTCATTTGCGTAATGACTGTAATGATGACAAGGCCAGTGTGATTGATCAATCTTTTCCGCTAATAAAAACGTACCTTACCTAAAATGGAAAATGGAGATAAAAGGAAGATAGAATTTAGATTTACAACAATTTGCTGTCAGTGAGATGAAAAAGCAACCAAATACAGTACTTCCGGAATTTAACAGGCTGTGTGCCAGGCGCAAAAAGAGGAGGGGAGGAAAGGGCCGGGGGAGAAAAAAGCCCTTCTCCTCAAAAATCAACATTTCCAAATATCAATTCGATCTGGAACTCACGGACACATTTAAACGTTTTTTTAAGAACTCTTAAATTCTTGGTGGGCAAACAAATTTCAATAGTTTTTTTTCGACGCTTGCCACGGAGGCTGTCTCTGAATAATATACAACTCAGGGCGGATAAATGTTGGGCGGTGAAACGAGCGCTCCGCTCTTCATTTAATGTGTGATGCGGAGTAGGACTGGCACGAGCGCTCTTTCCGCGCTTCCGGTGCGCTTCAAGGCCGGCGAAATTTTCCTTTTTGCAAACCGGAAATCCTATTTTCTTTCTGTAATTTCAGGTTACAGTGTTAAATAGATAAATTCGTTTCATAACAATACCAATAAAAAGTTTCATATGTTTGTGTCTGTACGTCTATAAGTCAAACTTGTTGGTCGTATAATGCCAAAATTTGAGTTTAATTTGAAAGTGTTGAATACCTCCTCCTTCCACTAAATATCACCTAATCGTCTTTCGCCGTTTCGTTTGCAAAAGCTTAACACTTCTTAACCTCAATTTTTACATATGTTAAAGGAGGATAAATTTTATATAACATAGCAAAAAACTAGATTGATATATATTGATATAGTGGCGTTGTACTTCTTTAAACTTTGCTTCTCGGGTGCAACGCGCCATGGCGATTCGCGCAATGCGTTGCAAATCCGGCAACCGCATGTAAACAAAATTTATTGAGTTTGGTTGTAAGGTTTTTTCTACGTTTTTCTCTCTAAAACAAAACAAGGTAAACAGAAAAAACTGGGGGGAAACTAAATTTAAAGTTCGAAGAAACAGAAAGACGTCTGAGATGTTTTTTCAAAATTAAAAAGAAGCATGATGGTGATTGAAATTAGCATAATTTCACCTTGCACGAGCTGCACGTATTTATAAAATACACGTCATCTAGTTATGAAACACGATCTGCTGTCTTTTAGTTTTGCCATGGATGACATCGATGAGATTTTCCTTCGTGTTTTAAACAGTACTTAGTTGTTTTTGTTTTGGAATAACATCAACATTGGCGAGTAGCAGAACGAAAATATAATTCAGTGGTAGAGTCATGGAAGTAATAAAAGAAACCCTTTGAAAGAGATGTTTGTCTACTCCAACTAAACCTCCCGCAAAAAATAGCAACATTTGCCACTCGGAGACAGCGTACCAGCACAAAGGAACGAGGAAGAAGTGCAAGAAAACAATTCAAGCCGCCATAATTCAGTGACAGCGGCAGTGTCTAATGTACAAACCAGATCATATCGCAAGCCCTGACCGAAGTCGAAAACAAGCGACATTTCTAAGCAGAGTCCCAGTCCACTGCATCACACCTTTTTGCTCGGACGCGCTCGTTTCACCGCCCAACCTTTATCCGCCCTGATACAACTATCCCCCGAAGGGGAGGTGAATGGTGGTAGGTTTTTACCGAAGACATGAAGCGTCGAGGTAAATATCGAGCGCTGTTCACCGACCCTGAGGGGGATAGTTGCTTTAGTATTTACCAAATCGGTTGGATATATATGATGAAGAAAACAACTTTTTGTAATTTAAAAACGTCACTTAGCTGGAACTTTGTTTACAATTTACAAACATTTCGGGGATTTTGTCAAGTGATTTTTACGACTTTTGTGGCAAATTCAGCACGAAAATAATTTTCTACCTGCCAGTAAACACCGACAAGCCAAGGTTCGTCGCTTCTCTGGTATTTCTTTGTACGACTGCTTCATATATCGCTCAAATTCCGTCTTCCGAAAATGTCTTGAAACGAGACGCCATCTTGGCTCCGGTCGCAAAACAAGAACTAGCCAGGGATATTCCTAGTTACGGGAGCCAATCAAAACGCGCGAAAATTGCTATTCACTGATTTGGTAAATACTAACACTGTCTTTGTGACGTTCGATCAGCCATGAAACCGTTTTATACTTCGAGTTATTCAGTACACTGTCGTTCCCAAGGTTTCATGATCGTGTTAAAGAGGCTTAACGTCACGCTCTTTGCTATCTTCTTAAAAGGCTATAAAACGGGTCTTCCCATCAGTTCATTTTTAAAAATAATGGTCGAGTTTTGTAGCTTAATTCTATATTTTAAAGGCACTGAAACTGTTTCTGTCGTCCGTTGCTACGGATAGCAAGGATGAACATGGACTGAAATTTCAAAAAAGTTGGGCCATCATTTTTCAAGTTTAAATCACAAGTTTTTTTTCCCTTTGTTGTTTAGTTTTTTTCTTGCGTTGTCATCCAAAGTCAAACAAAAATCGCTCTAAGTAAAGTCATTAGTTAACTTTTACATTTACGCGTCATACAAAAGAATTCTGATATTAGAATCCTAAGTTTTAGCAGAGTTAAAAAAAATTTCGGTCAAAGTCTGTACTTTGATACTGTTGGACAGTAACTATTTATTTAAAAAAAAACGCTGAAAATCATTTTAAAATCACTAGCAATTAGACTTGAGACTTGAGCGAACTAACCCTGCAACTGGGCATTTTACAGTAAAATCATTTCAAATATCCGCCGCATTGCGCGCTGTTTTATGAGTACGTGTTTGACTGTAAACAAAATGTTACTAGAGAATGAAAGAGAGAAAATGTAACAAGACGGTTTTCCTAATAGATTGGCTGATATACATTTTGAAACAGTATTTCATATTTTTACAAATCAGTCACAAAAGTTCATTCGACGTTACTCTAAGTGATTTATTAAAAAAGAAGTGAAAAATAATTTTTTTTTAACCGAAATAACTCATTTTGGAATTCTTGTTATTATTATCTGCCAGAATCGATATCCGGGCAGAGCACTTTTCCATAAGAGTATTTACAAGATGGCAAATATATAATTATATGACCCGAACAGCTGTTTTGCCTTTCTTAATTGACTTAAACAGTGACAAATTCTAGGTTTCGTAAATTCGCATTGCTGCTACAAAATTCAGTTTCACGACTTATATAAATTATGGCTGAGAAAATACATAAATTTGTCCTAGATATGCAACTCATAAGATCTGCCCCACGGACTCAAAGTGCGATTCAGCATTTTTTGGAGCCAAAAAAAACCAAAAAAAAGCTAAAAAAGGCCTTTCAAACTGCGATTTAATTCCACTCTTAAGTTTCAGCTGGTGGGTCTACATGATGCTTTTAAATTAAACTATAAACCTACTCCGGCCCTAATTGAGACGATCGTAATTTTGACTCAAGGTGAGATACTGACAGTTTTCTCCTCACCGACACGGGCTTAAAGTTAGGGCAAAAAAGTCGGATTATTTGGATTTATTATATTTGGTGTTAATACGCTGGATAGCCAAGAGAAAGCAGTTAAACCGACACTTACATAGGTTTGCCTATCACTTCGTTGTGGGCTCTTGACATGTTACAAGGCTTTAATTTTGCGGTTGATAAGCCATAGCTAATGAATCATAATCAGTTACATGGTGACATTAATAAACGTTTCTTTGCCGCTGGAATCTGTGGTTCTAACGGGCACGACACCCTGTGCCTTGAGGCATTTTCCGACTGCTACGTCCTCAAAAGGGTGGTGTTGTGGGCAGCTTGGTTCACCCAGTGCTTTTTTTAAACCTTCGCAGCGTTTCACGACTAAAAACGTATCCTCCACGAAAAAAAGTGAATTTTTTCAAAAGGTTTATTTTCCCAAGGACACAACCAAAATGACAGAAGATTTGGAAGTAATTACTACAAAGTTGTAATTAACGAACGTAAAGCTGAACAAATGTTTATATTTATGAGAATAAAACTGTCATTAAATGTTCTTTACTTTTTAGCGTTTGTTTTAGCATTCATTTGCGTAATGATGACAAGGCCAGTGTAATTGATCAATCTTTTCCGCTAATAAAAACGTACCTTACCTAAAATGGAAAATGGAAAATGGAGATAAAAAGAAGATAGAATTTTAATATACAACAAATTGCTGTCAATGAGATGAAAAAGCAAACAAATACAGTACTTCCGGAATTTAACAGGCTGTGTGCCAGGCGCAAAAAGAGGAGGGGAGGAAAGGGCCGGGGGAGAAAAAAGCCCTTCTCCTCTCTCCTCAATCCCCTCCCGTTTTTCTTTTGTCTATTTCTCCTTTCGAAACCTTGGGGAGCAGGCACAGTGACCTGAGATCAGGCGTTATTTTATTTATTTATTTTTATTACTTCTTTGTTTCTTTGGCTCGAGAGGAAAAAAAAAGGAAAACAGATTACACTGATAAAGGGATAGGGCATGATCGCAGGCTAGCACAGTGGCCGCAGAGCACTCGCCTCCTACCAATGTGGTCCATGTGGTGCCATGTGTGAATTGAGTTTGTTATTGGTTCGTTCCTTTACTCCGAGAGGTTTTTTTCCTCTCCTCAAAAATCAACATTTCCAAATTCCAATTCGATCTGGAACGCACGGACACATTTAAACGTTTTCTTAAGAACTCTTAAATTCTTGGTGGGCAAATAAATTTCAATAGTTTTTTTTCGACGCTTGCCACGGAGGCTGTCTCTGAA